GGGCGAAGGGCAAATTTGCCATTCGATCCAATACCGTCGTCGAACGATGCCCATCGGCTCTCTAGCCACCTCGTTGACTAGCCGGGAACCAAGACTGCACGCCCCCCTCCGTCTAAAGGAACCTTGCTGGATGTCTCCTCCTCCGAGTCATCTTCTTCCAATTTCATACGGAGTACATCCTGCTCTCTAAACAGACTAAGGAAAAAGCCTTGGCCACTCTTTGGTATTGACCACGAAGGTGAATTTGATTTACCCAAGTGGGGGAGATGGAGAGGGGGGGTGTTGGCGTTTGTCAAGTCTAAAAACGATCGAGGGAAAATCCATGTTGGTCAACCAACAGCAGAAAAGGACGCTGTTTTCATTCCTGTCAGATGGGGCGAAAGTAAGAAAAGAAAAGAAAAGAAAGAGTATGAGAGAAGAGGAACAGCAGGGCTTTCGGTGATTCGGGAGGGAGCCAACACGGACGATGAGAGCTCTGTGGTTCGCCTTCGCCTCCGCCTTGATCCAGCGGAGAGTTTTGGGAGGCAACAAGTCGCCGCCATGCAATCGAACTACCGGCAGGACTTCGTTGAGCGCGATCCATCCAGAGGCCCGGAGATCTACGAGAAATGACAGCGTTGGTGTGGTGCCCTACCCGCGCCCGTAGCTAGACGTTATAACGTTGCGCCGATGGGTTTTTGTTGGCTTGAGATCCGCGAGTGGGAGATTAAGAAGATAAGATATTGGCCATCGTTGGTTTGAAATTGTAAACTCTTCGTATGAATGACCGTGTATACTCTTCTGGCTCGCAGTTGTCAATGGAAGAGTGACAGACGCACTTGCGACCTAGACAACAGGGAAAGGAAGTGTCATGTCCGTAGTATGGTATGATGGAATTCTGGACTACTCGTACTCAGTGGTCCTAGACTGTTACCACATATCTTCCAAGGACTTTGCCCCTTTTGTCAACTTAGGGGAGTAAGAACCTACCTGCTTGTAATGATGAACCCAGTCGACCTTTGGCGGAAATATCCCGTGATAGAGACCGGTGTCAAGCATCCACAGTCTATCTCGTCGACGGAAGCGAAAAGAAAACGGCCCTTCTGCCCCATGGCAAAGCAACTTGGGCGACTCATGATGGGGGGGACTGGGAAACTATCCACAATGGCCGATAGACTTGAAAGACGCACTGCCCACTGGGCGTTACTTGTCACTCATCTTCTCGCTTGGCACTTCCTCGCTTGGATTAGACTACAAGCCTCATGAAGAATGCAAAGGCTCTCGCCCCCTCTTTTCTCCGGAACCCCCTCCTTTAGATACATACAACGATGCACGGAGGCGTAGATAGCCGGCAATTGTTGACTGGCTTGGTCATTTGCTATGACCATGTCTCCCTTCTTGGTCTTGCTTTGGATTGCTCGGAGAGTGTGGGTGTGCGGGCATCCAATGATCGCCATCGAGAAGACGCGGCACCCGCACGATAGGCACGAGCGCTGTTCTCGGCTTTTGGTGACATCCGCCTAGATCCATCAGAAAAAGAGCATGGCGCACTTCGTAAAGAAGCTAAGACGTGCGGGTGATGTGCAATCGGCGTTTGGGCTAGATATCCGCTCCCTAGAGCGGGAGCCTCTCGCCGGTACAGATGATGCTCCGTGATTTGCTCCATTACTTTGACAACATCACAGGCAGCGGATGGGCTTCCATCCATCCATCAGGCAGATCTGGAAGCGGGGGAGGACTCGAGTCAAGATGGATGGAGTAGCGTGATTCCTTGAGTGCTATTGGCTGGCTGGGTTGAATGCTGCTCGTAATCATCTCATACGCTTGCAAGGAAAGGGCTGGCACTGAGGTGAACTCGGCAGCAAATTGGGCAACGCTGAGCCGTGAATTACACCGTGGGCTGCAGAGGTTGGCGCCAAGTGGGCAGCACCGGGTGCGGCTTTGGCCCGTGAGCTCCGTGAGAGGCAAGAAAAGCACGCCCCCAGAAAGCAGCCCCATGGCAGATTTGCAACCAGGGATAGGGCATAGGGCGAACTAAGCAGGTACAAGTGAGTGTTAACAGCAAGGGATCACGGATGGGGCATGTTAGAGGACATCCAGGGGGAGGTGGAGTTGCTTCGTCGAGTTCATCCTCCTCTCTCGCACATCAAGCATCGACCGTTGATCGGAGCGACAAAAGTACCAAAGCACATATGTCCCTAGAGATGGGCAAGGCTCTGCGGAGTTCCTAGCGGTCGGATGGAGTCAAGATACTGTAGTAGAGTAGTCAAGAGCCCAGTGTCCGGCATCATCCCATTTGTCAGTGTCTCCACCCACATGAACGTTGCAAGAACGAGCGATAGAAGAGAACCAATGGAAGGATGATGAAGCGGTGCTGTCATTCGCGCTGCCCTCATTTTCTCCAAGCATGAGCCAGGATGTGTATGGGCCGAAACCGCAAGCGCTTGAGTTCTGAACTCAGGGCTGATCGCCTCTGTTCCTGAGCCTGATCGTTACCTCTCATTCGACACTCTAACTCGACACAGAGCGAATTCATCAGATCCAGTGTTTGCGTGGCAATCCTCAACATGCCTGAGCCGTCTCATCCCGAGGGGAATGGCCCTAGCGTGACAAGACAGGTGGTCAGCACTCTGACTCCTCATCTGAGGAGAGGCTAGGCTAGCTAACAGTGTGACTCGTCTCGCCATAGAGTTTGTATGGAAGACTACTCAAGTCATGACCTCATAACCGAAGTCCCTGGTTAAAAATCTTGAAGTATAGTTCGCATGTGTAGTAAGTACCCTTCTTCAATAGGCAGGTACTACTGGGTTTACCAAAGGTGAGTATATTCAAGAATACTGTGCAGGGGGCATTGAGATTGACCGGGAAAGGAGGGTGTACAGTGTCGTCGCGAGCGCAAATGTTGATGGGTGCTGGTGCTGTGCCTAGCTACCTCTCAAGTAGATCAAGGGTGGCCATGCTAGCAGATCACAAAGAGGCCTTTGAGTGGCGAAACTGCAGGCTTGCAGATGGCACACTGCAGGGGAGGAGAAGTAATGCAGCCAAGGTGCAGGATTTAATAGCGCAATCAAGTGAGAATTGATTACGCGGCGGAATCCCCTTGAGTTGTTGAAGAGATACGAGATGGGCAAGTTGGCTACCGGCTATCTCACGCTTTAACGCCTTGCGGCGGACGTCGTAGAAGTATATTGTTTGATTTCTCAACCATGGTTCGTCAACAATCAGGAGCCAGCAAGCTGACAGACCATGCAGGATGCAGACACATGGAAAAAAGGAGATTGAAAACGAGTGTGTGAGTGGAGAGGCACGGGAACAGAGGGCGAGAAGAGCCAGCCACAGCAAGGCCCAACAATCCGGTAGCGCCCAGCTTGCATACACATATGAATTATCCAGATCGATTGCAAGGTCACACAGAGCTAGCGAGTCGAGTAAGGCAAGCACAACTTCTGTTTTCCAGCGTATCATTCGATCGTTGGTCGCCTCGCGGCTAACGGGATGACTTGTACACGCGGCTGGAGCAGCCAGGTGCGGTAGATTCTTTGAAATACAACAGAAATGGGGTAGAGCCACTGTAGAAATGGCTGCAGAGCCGGCGCTTAGATGTGAACAACAACAATGATTAGCAAACGTGAGGATCCGCCATCGAAATAGCCGCCGGCTAGGCCACCTGATGAACGATGACAGGTAGAAACAGAAAACCCGCCCCAGATATCCGCAACGGCGATAACGCAGAGGCGTGGGAAATGCGAAAGACCTGCGCTCAAAGAAGAAAGAGGCGCAGAAACGAGATACTTCTGGCAGGGCAGATGCGTGTTGGTTGGGACACAACGTTTCATGCCTCTGACCAACAGCGGCCGAGTGCGAAGAGCGCAAATCACGCAAACAAGGACAAGAAGAGGCAAGGGGAGAGATCAGGGGCAAGAAAGGTCACTGGCGACAACCAAATTGTACTGACGGCGTTTTACTTGCGCGAGTTGGCGAATAGAATGACGACAGTGGCATTTCTCAAACGGCACCAAGTAAGGCAGGCTGTGGGATGGCTCAACGCAAGGCTGTCTTGATGGGTTTGTGCTTTGCAGAGGTCTCTCAGTGCGGCCAGGCAGAGTAAGGCCGCCGCCAGGGGCCGCAGATCGTGCAGAAGTGCAGTAGACCTCGTAAAAGAAGCTGAATCCAAGTATTCGCGTGACGGAAATGCGTGAAGCCCCGGAGAAACACCAGATGGGCCGAGGCCAAGACAGCAATCGCAGGAGGCAAAGCAGCAGCTGAGCGCTGAATGCGGCACCGAGAGCCCCCCGACAGCGGTGCCGCACAGAAGGCGGACATGAGAAGAGAAAAAGGGTGTTGGCCAAGAGACAGGTCAGTATCAGGATATGCTTGGTTGTGTGTTGGCTGTGCAGGAGGAACGTCTGTAGTTACAGCACAGGCTCGCTTATGGCGCTGTCGGTACCCAATGGCAGGCCCTTTCACAGCGGGTAGACGCGCGCGTAGGTGGTCTGCTTCGGGCCTAGCGCGTAAATCCGGAGAGGTCGCCCATTGGCTAGGCAGGGGCTGTGCGGCCACTCGCAGGGATTCCTGGCCAGTGGAGGGGGCGTGCGCTGCTCTTGGGCCAATGCGAATCGACTGCATCCTTGCTAGCGCGTCCCGACGGGACGGATCGCACTATCTTAGTGCGCAGTAGAGCAGTGGAGCGCTGCGCCATCAGATGAGTGGCCAGACGCGGGGCCGAAGTCTCTTGTTTCGTCCGCCTGAGCCAGCAGTGCGACAGCGAGAAAAAAAAACTGCTGCGTCTCGGCCAGATTGGTCTGCCCCCTACCCGGCCTCCAAGTCGGATCATACATGCACATGGGCTGGCCTATCCCTCTCGGCATCTTTCTCCCTATTGACGGCCTTGCTTGGGCAAGTGATTCATTCATCCCACTTCGGGTTTCCCCTCCGTCGTACTGCCACCACTCAAATGCGTGCAGATAAGGGCATGGGAGACGGTGTGGCGCCACCGCCCATTCACTGTCGTCAGTCGGCGGTCATCTCTCCGACTCCCCAGGCTGGCCCTCCACATTTTGTGATGTGCCGTAATTGGAGCTGCGGTGCGACCATTCTGGAAGTGTCGAGCTGTGCGGGCAGCAGGAGCCAGAGACAGCCTTGGCTAACGGCACAGGGACCTGGAGTGTTGGCACGATCGCGCCGGCAGTGCCATGAGTGCCATGAGTGCCATGGGCTACCATAAGTGCCATGAGTTGCCATGAGCAGCCATGAGGGCCATGCATCTCGTTGGTGAGCTCTACAGCGGAAACAAGGAGAGACAGACCAACCGCAACCGTTGGCCACCAAACTGCACTGCACATCCCAAGCCCAGGCATCTTCCTCGGCCACTGCCACAAAGAGCACCACTGCTTCTCGGACGAAGTCCGCGTAGTTCCCCATCCGGACTGGCTTGTTGTGGCCTAGAACCAAAAGTTCATTACTCCGCCGCCGCGACATTTGAGAATGGCACGGTACGGTCCCGACAGCGTGGAAATTGAGGCAGGGTTGCTGCGTTGATACAACTTTGGACGGGGGTATCGGGCAGGATAGGATGCGACGTTTGAAATCTCGAGCAATGCGTACAGGTGGGCCACGACGAGTCCCTATCCGAGCCACTTGTTCTTCTCAAGCACCGAGTAGTCCTGTCTGTTTGTCATGTTCCTCGCGCTTAGGCCTTAAGCTTGACTCGGTCAATGGTTGACGGGCTTAGCTCCCTCTAAACGTGAACGCCGCACTGTCCGAAGTGGGACTTGGATATCTCACCAAGTGTAAACCAAACCAAGAGCTGAGCGCTAGCATCTTGACAAGCAGCCGTGTCTGAAACATGGTCTGAATTATAGAGAGTGGAATGTTATTGTACCTCTTATAAGAAGACCGTAGAAGGAAGCAAAGGAAGCAAAGGCAAACAGTAGCAGCAGTAGCATACTCAGACATTCTGCTGGTGTTGAAGAATGGCTGGCGTTTGATTGAGGAACAATGCTGCGCTAGAGGCGTCGAGAGTGGTTTTGCGAAACTGTGCGCCTCAGCACGGAGCGTGTCGTGGTCGGCTTCCGCTTCACTAGTTCGCCTTGGCACTTATTGAAATACACAATTGCCCAGGCTAGCAGGCCATTGAATGATGTGATGCGGTTGATTGAATGTCGTGTGAATGAGCGAGCGACAGACTTAGCATTCCCTTGGCTAACAGCCACGATCCACCAGACGGACGCCGGGCAGCTTAATTGATCAGCACTTTGGTGCCGCCGTGCCCCTTTCAGGGGTATCCATTCGATAGATACTGGCGACTCTCGTCATTTTACAGTTTGTATCTGGGCAAACCCACTGATCGGAGCCGGGCGGGGAAGAAGCGTCGATGAGCGTACCTCGTACGCACGATACTAATCGTAGACGGTGGATTAGACAACTAGTCCACTATGTAATAAGCATACATAGTATGCCACCGCCTTCCGATCGTACGCGAACGTCACCCACGACGGGCATTAGCTAGCTGGCTTCCATGATCGTCTCTCTTGCAAGCCGATTGCGGGTAAGTGGTCCGGAGACTCTGTCGGGGACATTCGTCTAGCCATCGATGCTAGCTCACTAGACGCGGAGTAGAGGCTTTTGAGACTTTGTCGCTGTGCTGGCACAAGGACGCTAGCGGCACTGTGAATGAGATGCTAGCTTGAGCAAGTACTCGTATCAAAGGGCACAAGACACAATCGAACGCTAGCCATGGCGTAGGACACCATGGCTTCCATTGTGGGATGGATTTTGCGCTCGAGTTACCGCGAGCTCTGGCGGGCCTAGCAAGCAAGCATCGCCGCAGAGGGTTTGCGCGCAGCAGGCGCTGTAGCAGAGTGTAAGCTGTGCCGTAGGCCTGAAATACGGAGTTGGTGGTAAGCTGTCAATCTCGAAGCAAAGGGGCCGCAGTTTGGGCCGCACTGTGGATGAAGGTCAAAGGCAGTGCTGAGCTGGGTTCTGGTCAAGGCAGACTGGACGAGATTTGCGCTTTACTGCCTGCACGAGTACGAGTACAGTAGCAGCACACGCATTACAGCACCTGCGCAGGTACTCGTACTTGGTGGTTTCTTTCCGCCGGCTGTCGCGATATTGGCGCGGAGTCCGGAGTAAGGCAAGGCACGGGTAGGGAGTACAGACAGGTACGCTCCTGCGGCCAGGACGAGCCGTGGAATGAATGTCCAACGTCCCCGGTACTAAGTAGCTCCAGCGAGTACTTTTATCCGTTAATTTCACCGGCCGAAGCCCTGGTACCTCAATTGTACAGATACCGCCAAGGAAGGAGTCTGCGAAAAGTGCCGAGGCCAAAAGAGCGTGAACCATTACTACAGTACGTACAGGTAGCACGTCCAGCCAGAGGAAAGGCGCTAGCCCTGTTGAGGCAGCCACTTCAGCCAAAACAAAACAGCCCTAAACTCGCCTGAATTCTGATTTCCAATTCTCCACAGCAAGCGGATCCTGATCTCTGCCACTCGAAGCTATTGAGGCTCCCTCACTTTCTGCCCATCTGTCACATTCATGCTAGCAGAGCGCTCGCTAGTACGATCTCGGCAATCGCTGTGTCTGTCTTTTGCTCTGCCTCTGATGTGATGCGCTGGTCTCTGCCCTATGCCGGGGGCTTGATCTGCTAGCCCACGAATAACTTGCGCACCCTCAGCCTGCCTCCAGCTGGTCCCTCGTGGCGGCTGCCTCTGCCTTGGATACGATCCCCCCCCGCCGTTATTTCGAATCTTCTTTGCCGCCTCTTTCGAGCCTGCTGAGATTTCAGAGAGATTAAGTTGTTCCTTTTCTTTCCACCGGCTGCATCGGGCTCCTACGGTATCTCGCTGCTGCTTTGGCCCGCCTGATGATGCTACATCCAGTTAGCCTCGACGCAAATTCGTGATGGGTTGAGGGCTGGCGGGCCTGCTTTTAGAGATGGCAGGAGATGAGCCAGCTTCTACAGGGACCACTTGATTGTGGACTCACCTCAAACCGTTGGAAATATATCTCGACCGTATTGCGAGACGACTTACCGGATACGTCAGTGGCACCTCGGAACGTTTCATTTTCATCTCTCAGCTGCCCCAGGTAACCTTGTGTGTACGAGTATATGCTCACCTTAGCACCTTGGGTAGACGTTATCCATCATCTGGCACAACCCCTCATGCCCTGCCTTTCGTCTTGTGTGGCTCTTGCTAGGCCAGAGACGCAAGCTTCCGTCATCCAGCCGTTATGACCCGAGGCCGTGATGCAACCAGAAAACGGCAAATTAGGTCTGATATTGGGGCACATTGGCAGTCGCCCGTGCTCACTGATCTCTACCTAGTAGTCCGGGAGATGGCAAATTCATCATGGTCCTAGTGTCCCCGCTACTATTGATTGTTCTCTGCCTTCATCTGCTGCTTATTACCTTGCTATTGTCATGTGCCCACCGGATACGCTTGATTTTACACTCGTCGCACTCGATACAGAGGCACACGGAGTCTCCTGGAGAAGGCCCGCGCACGCCCCTACCGTTTCTCCATCGAGGCCCTGCAGCCATCTCGAGTTCTGCACGCCTCGGCGGCTATCTCATGCACAACAGTGTCTCCCACTGTATGTACATTATCCACGGCCAGCCCTGTCCGTCGTGACCAGGGACCCTGGCCCAAGCCATACAACTCTAACGACACTCCCCGAAGCCCCTGGTCAACTAGGATCTGACGCTTGATCCCTGCGCCAGGTAGCACACGCTAGGCCACGTCTCGTACTTGCACTGATTCCCGTGCTTGTCGACTCACGGCCCTGGATCCTGGAGAGCTCTCACCCGGCTTTTTGATCTGAGCCTCCTCCATTTATACAAAAAGTCTTGCCATCTCCTGTTCCTGTCGTCCTCACAAGACTCTCTTTCCTCATCTGCCGTTTCTGCACCTGTCCTGGCTCCCCCCGCTAGATCATCTCCAACTTTATCGTTATACCTTTGACCAACCACGGCCGCGGCCAAGGTAGGCAGATTTCTTCAACTTTTGGCGGCTCGCTCTGCTGTTGCAAACTTCCCACCCCTCCTCCGCCTCCAATTCATCTTCTCTCAAATACATAAACGTGCCGCGTTACGAACGGTTTCCTTCTTCTCACAAGTCGGTTTATCCTTTCATTTTCCCACCTTGCACTCTATTCTCCTCTTTGGTCTCCCCCTTGGCACGCCGTCCAAGGTACCAAGTCATCTGTCATCTGTCATCCGTCATCGGCTTTTGCGCCATCGCAAACAACTTGCTGTTGGAAAAGCCTGCTTCGCACGCTCTGCAGCTGCATTGCCGCCGCTATCCAACCAAAGAGTGTCCTTGGCTGTGTTTTTTTTAAACGCCCAAGGAGCCCTACCCAACGTGCCGCTTGCATGAACATGGTAGAGCAACAACAGTATATTCCTGCAGGTCTACCACACACAGGTGACCTGGCAGGATCCCACGGCTTGTCTGAGGCCAGATCCATCGCGCCTGCAGGCACTTCAGCCTATCCAGAAGTGGCCCCCTTCTCAGCAGTGAGTCTTGCTTGCCTTTTCCCTTTTTTACGCAGCGAGCCCCCCAAAAGAGATGAATGCTTGATCCTCTCCCCTCTCCCCTCTCCGTTTCTCCGTCTGCTCGCCATGGTTGTAAGCTTACCAATCGCCAATTTCGCAGGTCTCTTCTTTCAACATCCCTGCCCCGTGCGACTCTAGCCTTCTCACTCCCATCTCCACGACCAGCTCTCCCCCACTCCATCAGATCCGCAAATTGGCACCGCAGTATCCTCCTCCTCCTAGCACCCCTTATACCCAAGTGCCAACCCCTCCTGGAAGCTCCAAGATGTATCACCAGCCGTGGAACAACCAGTTCGACATGCACAACCAGGGCGCGCAGAGCGGCTCGCCCTTGAGTAGCCAGGTGCCGGTGGCATCGGACTTCTACATGCCTGAAGATCGCCGCACGCCCAACCCTCCGACAGAGCCCTATTTCGGGTCCTTCAGCGTATCTGAGGGCCCGGAAACTCAGTCAATCCACCACCAGGGACCGCCGTCATACTATGTTCCAATGGAGATGGGCAACCAAAACTCCATGATGATACGCGAACCCCGTCACCTGCCCATGGAGCCGCACCCCCGTGACGGCTCTCAGCCATCATCTCTGCTCGTGCAGCCTCACTCATCGCATTTTCATAGCATTCGGCGGGCCAGCACAGACGACCGCAGCTACAGCAGTCGTGCCGATACCGTTCGCCGCTCCTCCAGCGGCTCTCCTCGTCGACGCTCTGCGACTCAGGGCAGCACGCGAGTGAAGAAGTCAAGGTCCTCCAAGAGGCAGGGTGCTTCTCTTCGCAGCCAGACCGAGCCCGGCGATGAGCACAAGAACTGCTTTGGCCAAGAAGTCCCTCCTCCCATCAAAAAGGGGTGCCCCGAAGAGGAGCGCTGCATCTTCGAGTCTCGATGGAAACACCGCAACCAGCGGGGACAAGACATGTGGGATAGCATCCAAGCCGACTTTGAGAAAAAGTTTGGCAAGAAGCACGGCAAAGAAATGCTCCAGATGAAATTCAAACGCGGTCGATCCAAATTCTATGACTGGCTTGACGAAGACGTAAGTACAGCTCCACCGCGTTATTGCCTTTGAAAATGCATGCGACGCTAACCATTTTGTCTCACCAAACAGGTCAAGTTACTGCAAGCCGCTTTCAAGAGGTACGAGAGAGAGAGATATCAAAATATCCTCAACTACTTCCTTGAGATGGGTGGTTCCCGAAACATGCTGTTGAGCGCCAGCGACATTGAGATCAAGATTGTCAATGACCTGAAATGGGAAGATGCCATATACATCGAAGGCATCGACGAATGCATCCGCCGCCGCCGCAAGACCATTGTTAAGAAACGCTCCACCGGCCGAGGAGAACCGGGCGGGGACGTTACCGTGAGCGATGACATGCTGCGGATTTCCCAGACGCCCCACAACGAAGACGATGTGATCAACCAGGTATACGCCGCTCGACGCGATCGCTGGGATGAAGACATTGCTTCTGTAAACGGCGAAATGATGGATTCACACCTGTGGGAGAACCGGGCTCCCATGAAGTTGGAGCCTGACACCTTGCACAGCAGCACAAGCAGCCACCCCATTGGCGGCCCTTGTATCCGGCCGGTCTCAGTGTACCACCCAGCACCAAAGGCAACTTGATGCGGGCTCTTGTATGGCATGGGACATGGCACGGCAGTGTCTAACGGGATGGGACGGCACTGGATGGATGGCTTGGCTGAAGGCTTGGGACGGGAATGCCCGAGACGTCTCTTTTGTTTCATTGGTTAGAATGCTTCAATCTTCTCGACGAAGAACCACCACTCCTTTTGGATCACCCACAAGTTTCTTTTTTTCTTTTCTTTTCTTTTTTTTTTTTTTTTTTTCATATTTCTGTGTTATTCGTCTTTGTCTGTATTTTCCCATTTCCCCTGGTTATCTTTCTCTTCACCTGGTACCTTTAATTTCTTATCTTGTTCATTTCTATTTCTAACTTTCTTTTTCTCCTTCCTCTTATTGGCGGTCGAACAACCAAGGAATTGGGGGGAAAACTCGGGACGGCTCAAGACGGATACAATCTCACGATACGCCTGGATGCATCATGTTGGCTTACTGAAATTATGTTGCCTTGCCTATAGGCACTCGGTCCTTGGGACAGAAAAAATACAATCGCATAGATGATTAATCAATACAACCTCTACACTTGACCAAACAAGACTATTGCATTGCGTATATGTGACTGAACCGGCGTGTACAAGATAGTACGAGATAGCTGCGGGTGGCATCGGAGTTGGAGGGCGGCTAGGCAAGGTAGCAGTGCTACAATCAATGGATGGGATATTTTGCATTACCTATGCCGTCTGTATGTGTCCGACGTGTTGATGAAGGCGAACTTGTGGGCCGGCATCGTCGCTGCAGATGAAGCTCTGCTAGCTGGCGGGGATTCTCCTACGTGGCCGACTTTGCGCACCTTGAAACAACGCAGAATGGCGGAGAAGCATCACTAAGCAAGACGAGCGCTCGACGAGTGCTCGACAAGTGCAGGTCTGGATGCGCACTGTACGGCATATACTGTGTGCTGGCCACGGGAAGCGTAATTCTGCCCAAGGCGGTACCGAGTACCTACACATGCCCTTCGGAGCTGTTGCTCGGCCCCGGCCGTGTGCATTCGAGAACACACACGACCATATGGGAATGGGCTGTTGTGTCCGCAGCGCCACCGTCGCCAGGTCCTTTTGTCCTTTTTTTCCCCCTCTGTGCGAGCCACGCCCTCCGAGCAAGACAGGTGAGTACAGTACATTACTAAGAGAAAAAAAAATGAAAGAAAAAGAGAAAAAAACAAGGGGGGCGACCAGGTTGCAGCATGTCGAAATGCAGGGCTAGGTGAGATGGCCAGGCATCTCGTCCATTCATGGCATCGAAGAGGCGCCGAGCGGACACCGTCAGGCAGGCAGGCATGCAGCTGCGGGCTGGCTGGCCAATTCGCAGCGAGACCACACCACCAGTTCCCAATTCTCGGGATCGCGCCTTGCCCGTCGCAGAAGAGGCTGCATCACGAACCCTGGAAGGGGGCAAAAGGACGACGAGGGGGAGGTGAGAGGATATGTCGCATGTACGGAGTACGGAGTGCGAGTACAGGTGCACAGTACAAGGGATGGGAGGTCGAAGCAAGGGAGGAGGGGAGAGGGAGACGCAAGGGAGATGCGGCTCTGTGCTCTTGGTTTCTTTTTTCTGTGCGGCCGAGATTGAGCTGATGGGGTGCTTGTCTTTCCCTGCTGCCGAGGCGTCTTGATTTGTCTCGGTGTTTGGGGCCTTTTATTCATCCAGTTGAGCGTCTCGCTGGCGGTGCGGCGGGCAGCTACTCGGTAGCTTTTCAGCTGCACAGTACGCCATGTGCCGCCAACGCCGGTTTTCCACACTGTATCAGGTACTTTGCACATGCAGACGTACGGAGTACAGACATACAGACATGCGCCTGCCCAGCGCCCAGCCAAACACAAACCATGCCGCCTGCCTACCCCCCCGTTTGCACAGTACGGATTCCTTGAGTCTTCAGGCCGCGGCATTCTTCTCGTACATCCGTGGCTCCCCTTGTTCCGGCGCTCGCATTTGCCCACCGTCCTTGTGCTCCATGCTACCTTGGAGCAATGGCACGCTCTCGCCCCAAACTTTTTGGCCTGTGCCGCTTCCCCATCAGCGTCAGGTTGATGGGCTGAATGGCGGTACTACTCCAATGCTCGTACTACTACTCTACGGTATGTTGTGCGTCGCTTGCTCCTTTTCCTCTTTGGGCGGAATGGCGCCAGCAGATTGACAGGACTTCCCGTCTGAGAGATGGCCCTACTTGGGTAGGATTGCGGGAAAACCGCCGGCGCAGAGCTATCCAAGAGATACCCCAAGCATGGCGATTTCGTGTTTCCGCGCGCTGTCCCGTTTGGCTCATCACGACAAGTCAATGCGAGATGGGTTTGCCACGAGGGTGGTCAGCAGCACATGGATAGCCTGGAATCGCATCGCTTAGGAACCTGCTACGATCGCTGTAGCCTGTACTATAGCCCTCCAGGCCGAGCCTTGACGCTGTCCTGCCCGGGGGGGCCAGTGAGTTCAGGAACGGCTGGGGCTGGGGGTCCGGGCTTGAGAACCATGATCTGTCGAGATGCGCTAGGCGGGAGGAAGCACCATTGCTGTGCTGAAACCCGGATGCTGGGGCGGGAAAGACGGCCCCCGGCTCTTTTATTTGCCCATTTTTGCAACGTGAATCCTTTGGCGCTTCATCTGTCACTTTGCGAACGGCACATGACGCGAAGGATACGATACAAGAGATAGGGTGTCAGATGCGCCCACAATGCAATGTCTAGGTCTACAGTAGGGCGGAGGCGCGATTCGGAGCTCGCTAGGACGACAGGTCGATCTGCCAACCGGTCTCCAGACGTTTAGCCGCTGCAAGACGGTGGACTCGGACACTGCAGTGCTACTTGTGTCCTCGATGCGCGTTGCCATTCCGACGGCCCTGTCCCCTTTGCTGCTGGCATTGTTTTCTTCTTGCTGTTTGCACTTTTGCCTGCATTTTCGGGCGGGTTTCGCGGATGAGCACAGCCGCACAGTACGGAACACCCATGCCTCGCCCACCGCCCCTCCGTCCCGACAGTCTGGAAAATGACGCGGTGGAAAGTGGATTCGCAATTTGGGGTCCAATGAAGCAGCAAAACAAGTCAGAACGATTGGAGGGCATGACTGACGGGGAGTAAGGGGTTGCCCTGCTCCCTTCGTTCTCGCTTTCCCTCCCCCCTTGCCTCTGCGCTTCTCCCCCAATCCCCCTCCTCGAGCGAGCTCAGGAATCCAACGTTTGGTGTGTATATGCGGCGGCGTGACGTATTCGGAGGCCAAATGGGCACTTCGGCTGGCGGCCGTGCGTTTTGCTCTTGTTAACGGCGCGCCCCGGCCGGTCGATCTACGGGTCGCAATGCGGAGCCCGTGTCATCCTGGACGGAGTAGCGCTTCAAAAGACCGAAAATGGTTCCATCAGCCAAGATGGTCCTACTACAAGTATGTACACAGCGCTGAGGACGGCCGCCGAGGCTAATTTGGCCATTTGTCCATTTATGGCCGCGGACGGAGCACAAGAGCACAAGAAGCCCAGCGGCATGCAGACTACGGCACATATGGGCGGATACTACGAGTGCAGCAGCGTACAAGCAAGCATTCACGGAGCAGTCCTATTCGACGCGGTCCATATCCATGAAATACAAGTATCATCAAGACGGCCCTTCGTATACAGATTCGCAGGGATTGTAGGGCCTGGCGAAAGAGCCAGTCCAATTTATCCACCTGCACACTCGCAGGAATGATGCAAGCATACGTGTACTTGCAGTACCATGTGCTACGTGACAAGCGAGCATCCTGAGCTCTGCTGAGCAGCTTCTCGAACATGGCACAGAGCCCGTGACGAAGCCTGAAGACGGCGGACGGGCTGCGGCATGGGACGCGAAAGTGCCGGTGACACACACATCCATGCCTCTGTCGTCTACTTTGTGGAGTAATTGCCCTGGCCGGACAAGGGAAATCCAAGTGCAATGCCAATATCGGATGAACGCAGGCGAGCGAACACTACGGGGCGATGGCTACAGGACAGGACAGGGCCATCGGAAGAAAAAGGCAGAAAGACCAGACAGACAGCAGCAGGTTGCAGTGGCATGGCATCTGCATCTTGCCCCCCCCGACCGTGCCGTTTGCTGCTCGGGAGTTGTTTTGGGGGGCTTCAGGGGTGAGTGGCCCCGGGTAGCAACGAGGTGCCGAGCGTGGGCGGAGAATGGCGCCATGTGCTGAGATTTGCGCAGCGCAAATGGCGGTGCAATGTCGAGTTGGAGTTGAAAGTCGCAGTCTTGGTGACGACGATCCACTTGGCGATGAAATCAGAGAAGGCACCGCAAACTACAATTTGGATTTCAAAGCATCCATGTTCGTCCGCTCTGCAGCTGTGTACGGAGTATATCGAGGTCTATATCCGGCCTGCATGTCACTGGCTGGCTGACGCTTCGCCTCGCAAGCGATGGCTGTTGGCCGTACGTATCAGTCGCCCGAACTGGAAATTGTTTGGAAAGGATGCCATCTATCGACAGAGGAATGACGAGCCATTGCAACGCTGCTTATTATTAAAGGATGAATTGAAATCCGAATGTTGTTTGCAAAGCAAAAGGCCCGTGACAACGAGAATGATTACTAGAAGGCGGATTACGCTACGCTGGCTCTATATCCGTGCTGCTACGGATCTGCGCCTCCCGCAGATGGACTGACGGGGTACCTTGGCGATAGCTTGCAGGGTCCGTCCGTGCCTGAATGATGCGCTTTGCTTGCCTTTAATGTAGCACCGCGCGGACTAGTCGAGCCGGAGTGAGAAGCTTCTTTTGTCGCTCGCCCAATGCACCACTTGGTGACAAAAGAAGTGGTGCATTGTTATATCCCTGTGATCTTCTTGCGCTAACAGAAAAGTGGTGATGGGCCGATAATTTTGCTACCCCATATTCCTTGGGCGAGAATCATGGGGGAAACGTCGAGGAGAGACAAAATAAGCTGTGCATCTAGTCCTTGTGGTTTTCCCGCGCTAGCAACGAATGAAACGGAACGGATATTTCTGTCACCCCATAGTAATCTGCATAAGGCGACAAAAGAGATGATGCTGTCAAGGTCACGCTTGGCTGATATGAGCCATCTCAGCCACCGGAACACAAACCCCGTTCGTTTCTTTTTGATCCATGCACTATCCAGTTAGCCTCCCGATTCTTTGCGGAAAAAATAGAAGGACATGACATCTTCTTGCGCATTACCGTACAGCGACGGTGTTTGCTCGGCATTTTGACCCGTGCTCCTCCTCCCTTTTTTTTCTTATCCCTTTTGACGTGGACGAATCCTTCGCCGGCCAAGAGCCCTTGGAGCAAACGTTAAGCCGAGAAAGGCTTCCAAGCGAGAAAAGTTCTCTGTGCAGTACCTATTATTCATCTTGCTGCGCTTGTATTGGCGAACACCTCGTCGCACCCCCTCCCCTCCCCTCCCCCTTCCCTCCCCCAATCCCCTTGCTTCAGTTAACGCAACCCCCCTCCCCTTGCCTTCGAAATCCGGCGCTTGTCCTGATTGAAGTGTTCCATCATGGGGGGGAGGAATCCTTTGTATTTTGTGCATTGTACTGGAAACAATCGCGGGAGCAGTTCGCACTGTGGGTGGGATACGAAGAGGAAGGTGGATGGGCGAGACACTCCCCCCCTTGTTTCTTTTTTTTCTTTGTGTTTGCTGTCTGAGGTGGGGGACGCTGTAGGTGTTGGAAGTTGTCAGTTTGTTTCATTCTCTTTTTTTTGTATGCAGCGGTTTTTTTTTCTTTTCTCTTCCAAGATTATTTTATCATCATCATCCCTTTTTTTTTTAATTCACTGATATTTTATATACTTCCATATTTATTGAAAAATAAACATAGCATGCTGGTATTGTGGGTTGTAGAGGGGGCGTGCAAACAGGTCAATACTAAACCTGCTGTACCCTCTCACTGTAGGTGGACTGCTAATAGCCGACAACCGCCAGGCGCTGGGGGTTCGTACTATGTAGAGTAGGGGCTAATGCCAACGATATCGGCACCCTCTGATATGACAGAGATGAAAAAGGCATCGAAGGATCAAAATACCGCTAATACTGGAGAGAAATTACGGGTACTAAAATTGTTGACGTGTTTATGTGGCTTAAATACTTTGAATACACTGGTATGGTGTATGGGGCCTATTGTAAAGGCGCCTTGTGTCTGCCAACGTTGGATACACGTACCAGTGTCGATCAAGCATCAAAGACACTACAAAACACAGTCTTGGACACGCGTTGCTTAACTATGCTTTTTCTCTCTCTCTTCAATGTCATTATGGACTGGCGTATCTTTCCCACTTTGTAACACATGAAAGAGCTGGAAACTTTAAGTTAAGTCTCCGTACATCTCCCCGTAATGTCTCATTTGCTTCGGCTACGAGCAGCAACGCCCAAAAAAAAAAGCTTGATTTGCCGCTTTAGGAAATGAACAGACACTGAATGCATGTGGCTGACTTTGTCTCGGGGACTGGCGGCCAAAATGCCGTTGCAATTGGCTCCTTTTTACAAATCATCCTCTCTCACCCCCTTGGTGGCTCCTTTGATGGAGGTAAACAGGGACAAGGTGCCAGGCAGAGCAGAAGAAGGAGATGCAGGAAGAGTACAAGGAAGCTGTCGTGGAAATGCGAACGAATCAGATATTTCCCGACCAGAATCTTCACTACAGGGGGAAAAAAAATCTGGGTGAGATGGTTGGTTGGTGGCTTGCTTAGATACGTCCTAAATGTGCCGAGTCAAGATTCTCTGTGCCACCCTGACCCTGCAAAAGTGCTTTCAAACTCGTACGAGTATCTTTGTACGACGACGATGATAGCCTCAACACACACCCCCTTTAACACTTAGATAATCGCAGATTGCAGCTTCAGGGAGCCGCCATATGCTATAGTATGCAGGTGGCGATAGGATCAACGCGGTGCCTGGATCATCAACCTTCAACAGACGGAATACTCGCGCCTGTTCCCACAAGGCTGAGTGGGTTGGCTTTTTAAGTAGACTTGAATGTAATGTTACATGTAGCGAGTTCGGTCAAAACAGTTAGTTATTCCGTAGAGCGTAGAGCTTCACCTGCGCTTCGAATCTGACAACACTGGATACAGGTGTCTACGTATCCGGCATTGGCCTCCCGGCAGCAAACTAGAAGTAGATGGACAAAAGAAGTGAACGTCAAAAACCACCTCGGCCACTTGAGTCGTGAATGGGACCCAGAATCAAGCAGATCCCGTCCTCTCTAGTGGCCCTTTGTCGTTTTTTTCTTTTCTTTTCACACCCCAAAGGAAAAGAAACCTTCTAGTAGCATGGAAAGAACCTTGCAAGCCTCAACGGTGCTCCGAGCCCTCCGCTTTCGCCTTTGAAAGCCCATAGTGTACACAGTATGGGCGCTTTCTAGCGGGAGAAAATCATCGCGCGCTAGGGGGGAGGGAGGTTGGGGGGAAACTTGGTCCGCTTGGTCAATAAGGAATAGAAAGAACTGTAGCGCGAGGAGAAAACATCAGTGGCTTGGGGAGGAAACTCTGGAGAAAATTGAACTTGCGAGAAAGCTGAAGGGGAAGGGTGAATGTCCTAGTTTAGTGTCGACACACCTGTGGCGGCTTCGTTTCGATGAGGCCACGTGGGATGGGGGAAAGATCAGGGCGGACGTTTGAGGGTGGCTTTTTTTTCGCATTGGCAAAAAATAACACATGAATATAGCCTTACTTTCAAGCATCCTCAGAGCACTATTGATGACAAGGCACGAGGAGGAATACGAAGCTGAGGGCTGGGCAATGGCTGTATTCAGCGCCCCGTCTCCCCCTCTGGGTGTGGAATACTCGAGGCGTGAGACATTTAGCGGCACCGTACTGTTTTTCCCTTTGGACGAGCTCGATTGTTTTTTTCATTTCCAGGCATCCCCACTGCCAATGTCCGGACATTAATGTTGAGAACGCTCATGAGGTACACCTAGGTAAAATCAATGTCATAGTTTTTCAAGCTCCCCCAAGAATCCCGACTCTCCCGTATCCCAAATCTCTACCTACTTGAAAAATCCACAACAGCTTCCGTCTCCGGCACAAGATTAAAGGGCATTGATGATTTCGGATACCTCAATACTTGAACAAGACCAGCCAGTTCTTGCGAATGGAAGAGGCCCTGGGCTTTTCGTGTGTTTCACTAGCGCTAGGTCGATACGGGCCCTAAATGCCAGGCTATTGTCCATCACCCGTCGCTCGCTGCAGTGCGGATCTGATTTAGCCCAAGGCAAATGGGACTTGATACAATTCGCTTCGATGGAGTGAGTGAGGGTTGTTAGTGGCTTTTTTTTCGTGGCTGCAGTAGTCGCATGTTGCTTCAAGCCCCCGTTTATGCTCGGGGGTCCGGCTCGGTGTAACTGGAGGAGTTACTTCTGGGCAAAATTAGATCAAGACCGTTGAACAGCTGCAAGGTATGAAGAATGCCGTCCATGACTCGACACATGCAGTGCCGCTGCCACTCCATCAAAGGTGCTTCGGAAAGAGTCCATCCGTCGGAGAAAAGGGGGTGGGATTCAGCATCCAGTATTGTTGAGGTACCGTACGTGGACGTTCTCTTGCAATAGGAACTGAATCCTCTAGCCCTCTCTTCTCCACACGATGATCACCATCCCCCATAAAACAGGGCGATCTGTCAAAAAAGCCAACATGTTTCAACGCCTGTCACCGTCCAAGCTTGATTTGCACTGCGCAAAGCCTCTAGGCGCTCGCAAAACAGTGTTGGAAGCCGGAACCACGAATGCTCATATACAGCGTCCATATGTGGTCAATATTCGCCGTGTTTATTCATCATCAATCCTGGTCGGTCCTCCAAAGTTGCGGACTGCCCGATATCTTCCCTCTCCGCGCGGCATCTACACCTCTAGCACGCAGGGCTGCATGACAATAGCAACACAATACAAGTACCTTGGTAAATCCACTTTGCGGGTCGTGAATACCCTCTAGCGATACGGGAGTGAAGTCATCTGTAAACTGTAACAAAGTCTAGCCCTCGCTCGTCTGGCAAACAAAAGAGTAAAAGAGCCGACCACGAGGGCGTGTGGTGGAGGTGACAAGATAGCCCCGGGCGTGGGCGCCACGAGCTTCCGGTGCGAATCACACAATCTCTCGTTTCTTGTCTTTTTTAACCCAAGTCGTTCTCCACCACCCTTTGAGAAGGCTACATGGCCCATCAGCCATGTGATCTGGAGCCGCCCGACTGTCGTTCGTCTCGCCAGATCCACATCCGCGACAAACGCACCGGCGATTGCCAAAGAGGGATGAGTCTTTGTGCCACAATGGATGGACAGGTGTGCCACAACTGAACTGGGGATTGAAGGGGAGGGCCAAGAGCAAGATATGGAGTATCGGTATTACCACCCCTGGATCATCATTGGAAGGAAAAAAACAGAGTGACGATGTCCGCAGGAGAAACGGAACGTGTCCGTTGGCGGGCTCATACTGGATCGGTCGAGGTACAGATATAGATCCATCCCTCTTCGGCAGGGCCAAGCAGGCATCCGATCGCTTGTGCGAATGAAGCTCGCCGCGGAAGACGAAAAACTGGCGCCTCTTCTGCGGGCAAGGGGTCTAGCCTTGCCATGCCATGCCATGCCATGCTCTCATCCATGGCCTAGCCTCAGGAGGGAATGGATGGATGCTTCGACGAGGACTCCAACTTGATGATCAGCCTTCTACCCCCCTCCCTTGCTGGCGCCCCATTGTGAGATGAGACTGATCCCCTGACGGCTTCATCTAGCCAAAGTACTCACAGTACGGATCGCAGACGCCGTGGACTGTGGCGCTAATCTCGACTCCCGGGCGAGAGACCTTGTTTAGATTGGGCTCTTCGCGCCGGCCACGAGCAGAGACTCCAGCAAGCAGCAGAGAGATGGCGCGACAATTTGACCGGCTGCTGTCCTAGTGTGAGATGCTAGCACAAAGATAATCTCCTAGTCCACAGCCGTGCCACGGAAGATGCGTGGAAGCCTTTTGGACTCGCTGCGAACTAGGGCTAACGGGGAGAGGCATCCGGCGGATAGCTGGTTATTTTGCCTGGCCTGGTTGTTTTCCATGTGTGGAACAAGACGGGCCCAAACCCTTTTGCGGATTGCCAAGCAGGCATAATACCGTTTTGCTAAAAAGGGCGCGGAGGTAATGTGATGCTGTGAGAAGGACTTACAGTAGTCGATGCAGAAATGGAAAAGGAAATGCGTGGCATCCACTGGCCCAACCGATGCCCCAGTACTCCTTCCTCTCCCTCTCTCTCTCTCTTGCCTCTTATTGGAAAGGGTCCTAAAGGCAAACTGAAAGGCGGAGTCGGGAGCGCCTGGAGATGGATCTCGTATGGCAGTATTGCGCATCGCCAGGCCCGTTCTCGCGACCCGATTCGCATGGATGACATGAATCCGTCAAAGTAGAAACAAGAGCAAGTTTCAAACCTTCCAAAAGCTGCTGCTGACAGATTAGCCCTATTCCACACACTCTATAGCATCTACATCTGCAAGTACCGTGCCTAGGCAATGATTACCTCCATGCAGGCAGGCACAATGGCAGCCGGAGTGATCCTCGCTCTTCGGATGAACCACAAACCCTCCACAGCAACTGCAATCCCAGAAGCCTCGTGGGCAATAAACCGTCCGAAGTCCGTGTGGCTTGCCTTGGCCAGCCTCGTACTCTCTCGTACTTGTACATGGACTCAATTTCTTTTGTCTATTTCCTAGCGCTGTGGAGATGAAGGCCGGGGAGATGGCGGATTTGCCCATTAGCAGCAGTTCGTGGCCAGGGGTGGGAGATGCGGAGCGAAAGCGAAAACCCTCAAACGGTCCAGGCCACGGGCTGGATTTAGCGCCGAGGAAGTAAAAAAAAAAAAAACCTGATGCTTTCCATGCTTCTCTCAGCTGTGGGGGATGTTATCGCTGCTCGTACTTCGTACCTGTACTCTTGCGCTGCCATGCATGTGCTGCTTGATACAGGCTGCTTGGAGCAAGGCCGTAGGCTTACAGTAGCTTGGGGAGAAATGGGCTCCATCACAGGCAAGGTGATTCGAGGAAGTACACGTACTCGTACGAGTAAGGATTCTCCTGCTGCGCTGTGCTGAGCCGAGCTGTACTATGGACACGCCCACAGCATCATGGATGACAGTTTCGATGCCAGAAGCAGTGCTCTGATCCCTGTTGACTCGTCTGCTCGCAGCTCGAGTAAGATTTTGGCCAGCTGGGCAGCTTGCGTCCCCCAATTCCATGCAGCTCCTGGGCAAATTTGCCAGTAGCTGCCTCTGACGTACATGGAAGAGTTGAAAATTCTCTTCCATGTACAGTACTTGGATCATTTACTACGAAATACATGGGCTCAGACTCCCCAATGGCTGCACCGTGTGTTATTCGACGCACTTTCCTGCCAACGCTCACAATCATGATACGATACACCCCCAACGGCACGTCTTCTGATCGCGGCTATCGTCGTGAGACGACTGGCGAGCCTTTCACAGCTGCCCAGACGCGTGTGCTGGCGCAGAAATAGACGCCCGTGGATGGCTGGCTTAGCGCTCGTGTTACGCTCTTCAATTCACCCTCCAATTCATCTTCACACTCCCTGTTGCAAGCAAGCTCTGATCCCTGCCCCGTAGGCATGCGGGTTGGTCGTGCTCGATCCTTTGGAGGCATTCAAGTATTTGCAGAGTTGCCCAGCAAAATGCCGTTTACTCCGGCTTCGCCAGCGAGAGCCGGGTACGTGGACCGCAGCATGGGGCTACGATAAGCCCACAGCTGTTGGACAGCACCTGAAGCGTCAAGTCCGCCTCGCTACATCTCGAACGGGGTTGACTGTCCGATGGCAATTGCACCCTGTACAAATACCTATTATAGACACAAAAGCCAGCTCTCAAACATGCGTAGCGATAAGCGCGCTGGGGGCGTGGAAAATACCCACGTATGAGTGTCTGGTCGCCATGGAACCGACATTAGCGAGGCCTTTGCTGAATCTCCGGATGACTCAGTGTTATGGTATTGCCTGTACTGAGTACTGAGTACGAGTAGTATATCTCGCCAAGACTTTGTTCGTATCTAGTAGACTGTAGGGTCCCCATCGGCTAATATGCCGGGGAGTCTTGCCGATTATTGTTCTTGATGATGCTCTCGCATGAAGCTGTTGGCAATAAGACGGAAACGAAGCCATCTGCAACAGCCGATTGGTAAGCAACTTTACTCAGTACTCAGTAGGTGAGCAGAACACCAGCCACACTCCAGCACCAGCCACAACTGTCTCGTCCTGCTTCCAGACTGCCCGATTCGCTGTGGCGCCGCGCAAAGATGACAGACAGCACATGGCATATGGCGATCAAGCGGCCAGTCGAAGACAGCGCCGTTTGCGTTTGACGACTGCCAGAGAGCAAAGCCGCGATTCCTTGCGAGCCGTCAAGGCGCTCCTCCGCTGTGAGCAGCTCTATGCTGCCGCCTCTCTCCATCGCCTCTCTCCCCCAATGAGTCGCCTGGCACGTGCCAGCTTCTCCGATCGCTTCTGCGGCCGCCTCAACAACTCCCGAAGCGCGGCCCGACATGATGTTGCCAATGGTCGTGTTGCTATGGCTGGGCTGCTCGCTGCTGTGGCCGGTGGGCGCTATGCGCTCGGACTATTTGGCCCAGCTGCGGCAGGATACGGTGGACATGTTCTATCACGGGTATAGCAGCTATATGGAGCATGCCTTTCCCGAGGACGAGGTGGGTTGTTTGTCATCAAGCATCGTGTAGATAGAAAGGTAGCTGACCGGTGCGCTTTTGTAAATGCATAGTTGCGTCCAATATCATGTGCTCCCCTAACGCGAGATCGAGACAACCCCGGGCGAATCAGCTTGAACGATGCTCTTGGCAACTACTCCCTGACTCTGATAGACAGCTTGTCCACGCTTGCGATACTGGCTGGTGGCCCACAGACTGGCTCATATACTGGTCCACAGGCTCTGAGTGACTTCCAAGATGGCGTGGCCGAGTTTGTGCGCCACTACGGAGACGGCAGAGAGGGGCCCTCTGGTGCTGGGATACGTGCTAGAGGCTTCGATCTGGACAGCAAAGTTCAGGTGTTTGAAACAGTCATTCGTGGCGTCGGCGGGCTCTTGAGCGCACACTTGTTTGCCATAGGGGAACTGCCTATTACTGGATACAATCCCAAGCCGGAGGGAGTCGCAGGCGACGACCCCTTGGAGCTTCCCCCTATCTCATGGCCGAATGGATTAAAGTACGACGGCCAGCTGTTGAGGCTTGCCCTTGACCTTTCCGAAAGACTGCTTCCTGCGTTTTATACTCCAACCGGTATTCCGTATCCTCGAGTCAACCTCCGCAGCGGCATCCCTTTTTATGTCAACTCTCCCCTCAACCAAAACCTGGCGGAGGCAATGGGGGAGCAGAGTGGTCGTCCAGAGATTACCGAGACCTGTAGTGCTGGAGCTGGAAGTCTAGTTCTTGAGTTTACCGTCTTAAGCAGACTTACGGGAGACCCGAGGTTCGAGCAAGCTGCCAAACGAGCCTTCTGGGAAGTGTGGCATCGCAGAAGCGAAATCGGCCTGATCGGTAACGGCATCGACGCCGAACGAGGGCTATGGATTGGTCCGCACGCAGGTATCGGAGCAGGTATGGACAGCTTCTTCGAATATGCGCTCAAGAGCCACATCCTTCTCTCGGGGCTTGGCATGCCCAACGCCTCCACGTCTCGCCGACAGAGTACGACCAGCTGGCTGGATCCAAACTCCCTTCACCCCCCTCTACCGCCTGAGATGCACACATCAGACGCCTTTCTTGAAGCATGGCATCAAGCTCACGCGTCGGTCAAACGATACTTGTACACCGACAGGAGCCATTTCCCCTATTATTCGAACAATCATCGTGCCACAGGCCAGCCGTATGCCATGTGGATCGATAGTCTGGGTGCCTTCTATCCGGGGCTTCTGGCTTTGGCCGGTGAAGTCGAAGAGGCCATTGAGGCGAATCTTGTCTACACAGCATTGTGGACTCGGTACTCTGCACTGCCTGAGCGCTGGTCTGTCCGTGAAGGCAATGTCGAAGCTGGCATCGGCTGGTGGCCCGGGAGACCCGAATTCATCGAATCCACATACCACATTTATCGTGCTACCAGAGATCCGTGGTACCTTCATGTCGGTGAGATGGTACTCCGCGACATCATGCGTCGGTGCTTCGCTGAATGTGGCTGGGCCGGGCTCCAGGACGTTCAGACGGGCGAGAAGCAGGATCGCATGGAGAGCTTCTTCTTGGGGGAAACGGCAAAGTACATGTACCTGCTGTTCGATCCAGATCACCCGTTAAACAACCTAGATGCCGCCTATGTCTTTACCACAGAAGGCCATCCACTTGTTATACCAAAAAGCAAGAGAGGAAACCCTAATCGAGAGAATGCTCTCAAAGTGAAGAAGAAGAAGAGCAAAGACGTAGCAGTCTACACGTACTACGACGAAAGCTACACCAACTCTTGTCCTGCGCCTCCCGCGCCTCTGGAGCACCATTTGATGAGTTCAGCCACCGCAGCCAGGCCAGACTTGTTTGCCGTTTCCCGGTTCACAGATTTATACAACACGCCCAATGTGCATGGGCCCCTCGAGTTGGTTGAGATGCGTGACAAGAAGAAAGGACGGGTGGTCGGATACAGGGCCACTTCAAATTACACCATCTTCCCGTGGACTCTTCCACCGGCCATGTTGCCCGAGAACGGCACTTGCGTTGCTCCTCCCGAGCGTATCATATCGTTGATAGAGTTTCCAGCCAACGATCTTGCCAGCGGCATTGCATCGCGATTCGGCACGCACCTCTCGTGGCAGACGCATCTGGGACCGACGGTCAATATGCTAGAAGGACTGAGACTTCAGCTCGAGCAGGAGTTGGACCAAACTACAGGTGATTATAAGTGGAGGATTACACACATTGGCAACACGCAACTTGGACGCCATGAAACCGTCTTCTTTCACGCTGAACACATCAGACATCTCAAGGACGAGGTGTTCTCCTGCAGGAGAAGGAAAGATGCGGTGGAGATTGAGCTGCTCGTGGACAAGCCAGAAACCAGCAACAGTACGCTTGTCCTGTCCGAAGATGAAGAGACGGATGATATGGGGGATGACGACGCGGAAACCGCATCAAACTCGTTATTTCAGTCCCTACTCCGCGCCGTGTCCTCCGTCTTCGAGCCCGTTTACACAGCCCTTCCACAGTCGGACCTCAGCGAGGCCGCCAAGATATACAGCTACGATGCATACACTTCAACCGGCCCCGGCGCATATCCCATGCCGTCTATCCCGGACACCCCCATCACCGGCAACCCGTTTTACAACTTCAAGTACCCGGCGTTCAACTTCCCTTGGTCGACCGTCTATCTCGCCGATCAGGCCTGCGACGGACCGCTCCCCGCGGCCGCGCCGCGCGAGCATCAAGTCATTGTCATGCGCCGTGGAGGATGCTCCTTCAGCCGCAAGCTGGATAACATCCCCAGCTTCTCGCCCCACGAGAAGTCGCTGCAGCTGGTCATCATCCTCGACGAGCCGCCCACAAGTCCAGATGGCGGCGATGAAGACGGCGGCGTGGCCCGCGATAGAGGGGACCTCCCTCGGCCGCTACTGGACAGGGAACAGACCACGCCCAAGGGGATGAAGCGCCTGCACGGCATCCCCATGGTTCTCGTGAGAGCCGACCGCGGCGACTATGAGCTTTTCGGGAGCGCTGCAGGCGTGGGCATGAGGAGAAAGTATCGGGTCGAGAGCCAGGGGCTTGTTGTGGAGAATGCTGCCGTCTTGTAAGGGAGGGGATATTTGGCATATACATAAGCTACACACACACACACACATGCACACGCACATATTAAGGAACAATTACATAGCACACATATATACTAGCATTTTTGCATAGATAGGTACGGATATCACGAGCGTTGCAGAAAATGGACTCGAGGAGGAGGAGGAGTTTGTGGAGTTTGTTATCTGGAAACAATAAAATAGGATATCCCTGAATAATTAGATAGATTCTGATGACATGATGAAAAAAAAAGGTACTCTCAGCAGAACGGGTTTCCCAAGTGATGAACGACATCTCCTGATTGAAACCATGTCCAAATCAAGAGAGCGAAATCCAGCATCAACGTATCATCACCGGTCAAGGGTCACTGATAATTCAACTACCGGAATCATCACGCATACCGGCTCGGAGCCATGTGGGAGCAGTTTGAACATCAGGTAAATAAAAACGAAGAGATGAGTTTCATTGCACAAGTCCCTAGCCGTGATTATTAAATATGCCCACCTTGATCCCAACAATTTTCCATCCCAACGTCTTTTTTTCTCCGTAGCCCACTCGTCCTCATCACCGTTCGAGATTCGTTCCTTTGTTTCCTCATCTACCCCTCCGGAACCCTTAGCAAGGTGGTCTATGTCATATATATAAAACGTATAAGTAGGAATGAGGACAGAGCACGGCATCCACTCGCCATTCCCGTTGAGAGAAAAAAACGCTTTCCATAGTCTATTGGTTTTTTGATTGTAATTTGCGAAAAGAAACCCCCATATTGGAAAAAGATAATGAAAAAAGAGCAAGGAGATATGGATATGTAAGATGGTTTTTAAGGAAAAAGTTTAAAGAAAAGATCCAAGCAAACAACTTTTGATGTATATAAAAGCGTGCCGATAAGGAGGACCACAGGAGTCAAGATCACAGTCCCCCCAACATGAGAAGAATCGTCCGTCTTTGCGCCTTGAGTCGATTGAAAAAGGCATCGAGAAAATGGGAATGTTTCGTCCCAGGCGAGCGCTTCTAGTCGACCAGGGCTAGTGGTGTCGAGAAAATTGCTTTCCAATCATGTCGTCTTTTTTGGTGTTGAATGGCGCCGCCTATCGGAGAGAATAGGACATGAGGGCTTTTTCTCGAGAACGATTTATGGGTTCTCAATGAGGATAGTAGTAGGAGCGCTGAGCTTCTCGCGGCCATTGAGGCCAGGAATCTCGAGAATGAAAAGGTAACCAATGACCTGACCCTTGAGCTGGTGAACAAGATCCGCCGCCGCCGCCGCCGAACCACCTGTGTACGAGTTAGCACCTTGATGTCTGCAGGAGAGGTATTGACGCAGGTAAAATATTGATGAGGTGCACAAAGTGTGCCAATGGGTTCATGGGGTAGAATCGTGTTTATGACCACAGATAGGGTCACGGATAGAAATCACAAATGGCACTTACCCGTCGCAATGATATCGTCAACAACCAACACCTTCTGCCCCTCACGGATGGCATCCTGCTGCATCTGGAACAGGTCCTTGCCATACTCCTTTACATACTCGGCAGTAACGCAAGGGCCAGGCAGCTTGCCCTGCTTTCTAACAGCAGCAAAGGGAATGCCGAGGCGCAGAGCCAGGCCGGGGCCGAAAAGGAAGCCGCGGGCATCGAGGCCGACAATGACATCGGGCTTGGTGGCGCCGAAGGACTGAGAGATTTGCAGCTCGAGGGCCGACAGCAGGGTGGCATGGGCTTCCGGGTTGGCGAAGAGGGGCATGATATCGACGAAGTCAATCCCCGGGATGGGGAAGTCGGGGAACTGCCGCAGCGTCTTGCGCAGGCTTATCTGTGCACTGGCGAGTTGGGCGGCGGCGGAGGAGGCGGCGGAGGGCTGTCGTCCCGAGGCATCTTGGCTGGTGGAGGAGGATGTGGTGATGTCCTGAGGCTCTGTGGAGGCGGACATGATGAGGAGGAAAGGAAGAAGAAGAGAGGGGGAAAAGAGAAGAGAAGAAAGAAGAAGAGGAAAAGAGGAGGTGAGAGAGAGTCAGAGGAGGTTAGGCAGACAGGATGCAGAGAGCAATAGGAGCAGACTTCCTGGGGTGGTGTGAATTTTTTGTTTTGGGGTGGCAGGATAAGCCGAGATAGCACGAAACGGGAATTGATTTTTTTTTTTTCTATGGCGGGCAGCGCAGAGAGCAGCGCGCAAAAAAGGAGGGGTGGTGTGTACTTTTTTTTTTCCTTTCCTTTTTCTGGTGCTTGTGTCTCTCCTTCCTCAAGCCTTTTTGGTGGGGAAAAAAATCAAAAATTCACAGCTGGCAAGAGCAGCCCAGCACAATGGAGGGGGTGCACACAGCAACAGCGCACCAGAACAGAACAGAGCACAGCACAGCACAGCACAGCACGGCAGCAGCAGCGGAGGGGAAGGCACGATACGATGGTTACTGCAGCTCGTGTATCAGAAACATTGGCTACGGCTGCAGCTGCCTTAGTCCAGATTACCCCGTCGGTACCTGCTCCATGCAAGCAAAAGTGATGGGCCATAAAGTCTCGGGCCGGTAGCCAAGCGTTGGGTAATGCCTGTCGAAACGAGAAATATGGAGTATCGAGTACTTCGCTCAAAGCTCGGAGGAGCAACGTGGCTCGTCACAAGCAAATTTGGCAGGCACTTTGCCCATGCCATGATGCTACTGTACTTGTACTCGTACTACAGCAAAGTACTAAAGTATTCGTTGTACCACAAACCCAGCAGCCAGGGACTCATCCAAGTACTGGTTGGGCGCTCGAGGTACCTGCCCGCGGCCGTGCGGCGCACAAGTACAAGTCGAAGCCACAGATACAAGCAGCAAACAAGTTCAACAACGGCTCTGCCTTAGGTACATTAGCTACACGCATGAAATGGAACTCCGGAGCTTTCAAGTACCGTCAACTGTCGGTGTGTTTGCTGGGCTGGAGCTTCGTTTCATCCCTCTTTGGCTCCCTTTTGGCTCCCTTTTGGCTCGATGCTAGCACTGGCTCAGCCGCCCGGATAAAATCACTCAGGTTCCATCTGGTAACCAAGCATCGGAACTACTGTGCGCACTCCTCCCCAAGCCGGCAAAGGGTGCGTGCGCGACAATCATCCTAGCACCTGGTAGAGGTTCCATTGACCTGCTGCTATAGGTACTTAGCTTTAGTATTACCGGGGATGAACAGTGAGGGAGTGACTGTACTGCTGCGACGAGATGAAAAAAGAAAAAAAAAAGCTGGTCGCTGCCGAGCCGGGCCGTTTTGTTGCAGCCCGATATGATGCTGCGAGGATGAGCATCAATGCCCGGGGGCTCCGTAAGATTAGGTGGTAAGCCATGTTATGCTATCAATGCCATGCCATGCCCTGCAATGCCATGCCATGCTATGCTATGCCCTGCTCTGCGACTACCTTAAAGCACCTGCTAGGTACCTAGGTAGGTATTGATGCTATCTAGATGCGTGCCAGATATGCCGTCCATGATAACAGTAGCACGCAGCAGCTAGAGTTGCTGGAATCCCCCAGCACACTGTCCACCTATCTTTATCTACTTGTCTACCTACTTGTACCTACTTACCTGCCTTGCCATCAGACCCAGCTCCGCTATTCCGATCCATCGCCCTCGCTGGCAGCAAATGGCGGGCCAAGACGCTGCCCAGGCGTGAGATTCATTGGCCGCAGAGGCACCGCGCGAATGATATGCATGTACACCTTGAGACCCGCTACTACTGTACGAGTACTCCGTACATGCAGAGAGACTGCCTGTTAATCGATAGCCGCAACGAGCCTCTGCGTTTTTACCTTTTTCACCTCGCTTCGCCCTGTTCCGCCCTGTTCTGCTGCCCTGTGCCGAACTTGCTGTATTCTCGCCAGACAGGACGGAGGAAAATTGAAGCGTTTCGTAGGGACCGTCTCACGGCTCCGGACAGGTTAGTACCTCTACCTGGTAAGTATAAGTGACCAAGTGGATGTTCTTGTCAATGAGCCCGAGCTCGCAAAGCGACATGTCATGGCCGTGACGGCGCTACTGCGTGCTCCGGTACTCGCCATCATCAATTCATTCTCTCTCTCTTTCACTGTATTACGAAATACAACACCAACTCACTCACCGTCTTGTCCCCCTTCACGCAGCCATCAGCCGTGTCGGTCTGCAACTGGGCAAATGAGCTTGAGCTTGTGCTGGGCTGCATCTCACATACTTGTACACACACCCCTTCTCGCCGTCGTCGCTCCCAATATCAAGATAAGGCTGCGCAAGCAAAGCTTACCCACCTCCACAAACGCATCCGTGTCACCACCATCTTCCCGTCTCCCCGATGTGGCTTGCTCTCACAGGTTCGTGTTCAAGGGCTGGAGGGCCGGCCATTGGCAAACCTGGAAAATACAGTACAGCCTCTCTCTTGCTCCCGTCATCCGCTTTCCACCCCTCCTTTGTGGCACGTTCCTGTCGTAACCGTCGTACGCCTATTACACAATCGATGGCGTGAGGACCCCATGCCGTGCCAATTAGTGCTCCAGCCTTTTTGTTCTGGGTGCGACCGTGCCATGCTGGCCCTTTTGGCGGCTATATTTGCTGCTCCAGAAGGTCCTCGTACATTTACATTGCATGCATCCAATGCTCTAAGTTATGTACGGAGTGCCCAGGGTATAATTGACTGCTGGCTGCATGTCTTGGGGAATCAAAAAATCAAGGCGGAACCGATGAGTCAAAGACCAGCTACTTTCAAAATGCAACCAGTCACGCCAAGGCCATGCTATTTCCCCCATGCCCGCCGCCCATTCGTCCATCTGCTGCTGCTCCATCCATCCATCCAATCGAGACTTTATACTGCCAAGGTCCTCATCCTCTGGAGTTGGCTCGAAAACGGCTGCAGCACAGCCCGATGCATTCCAGCCAATGCAAGGTGTTGTTTCTTTTATACAAATACTTACAGCTGCCTGTGCTCACCAGCATAAAGCCATCTCCCTACAGCCTAAAGCAAAAAATCTCATCTTACATGGACGTGTTCTTTTCTCCTTTGTTCCCAACACCCCCGCCAGCTATTATCAGCCACAGCGCATTAGCCTCATCACCTCATTTCTCACTGGTCTGCGGCATCGCGCAAGGCGGTGGAACGCTTGTGTTTTTTTTTTTTTTTTGTTTGTTTTTTTCTCTTGGGAATTAATATTATATAATACCTCTCCCCGGTAAAATCTATAGACCAACTGACGAGGAAGTTCGTTTGCCCCATTCGTCAAAGAACAGGCTCCCTCTCTTATTAATCGTAAGACCATCTCTGAGAGCTTCAAAGAGTAATGAAACCCTTTATCGATAAGATGTTACGTAATCAATCCTGCCGGGAAGGGAAATTTTGCTCCTCTCCAAACCTCAAATCGCATCTCCAAAGCCTGTGACGACATACAACCGGAAAGAGAAAAATATCAACCCACCTCCAAGCACAAGAAACAGCCTCCCTTGCCTCCCAACTTTTTCAAATTCAGAGAAGGAGAAGTAAAAAAAACAAAGCAACCATGTCTTTCCTCGGAATCGGTCGTCCCCAGCCCACCTCGGAGCAAAAGATTGCTGCCGTCGAGGGCGAGATGCGCATGATGGCTGATACCTACAACCGGTAAATTCTTCCACCTCTCTCTCCTACGACTTCGGTGAGAAAAAGATCTTTTCTAAATCAAAACCTCCTTCAGGCTGCAAAAGACTTGCCAGGCAAAGTGCGTCCCCACCGACTACCGCGAGGGCGAGCTCAACAAGGGCGAGTCCGTCTGCCTCGACCGCTGCACCGCAAAGTTCCTCGACACGTCCATGAAGATTAGCGAAATCATGCAGCAGCAGGGCCAGGCAATGGGCGCCGGGCCTCAGGGCGGCATGTTCTAAATGGGAGCGGCCCTCCACCCCCCGTGCACAGCTATAGAATACCAAAAAAACAAACAACAAAAAAGAGGGAGTCAATTGAATATCGACATGTCTTCTTCCTGGCCGTGATGACCATGCAATGTCATGGGATTTTTGTACGATTATATGGGCAGTTGTCTGCGTTTAAAGGGACTTTGATGATATGATGGGATTCATGGATATACATATATCATGTCAAGATGTATAAAGCTATCAAAGACTATACTGAGTGCTGTCCAGGGGCAGCAATCGTCATCGTGACGAGTCAACAAACATCTCCTCTGCGAAATGGTATCTATCCTCTTGCAAGAACGACAATAAAGCGAAATGAGACATGATGATGAGTAATGAGACATGGAAATGAGTAAAACGCCAATGTTCCATGTATCCCGTATGAATGTAATGATTTCCAACTCCAACCCAATTTTTTTCAGCAAATGACGATTAAAAATAATTAAAGCCAAAGGGGGTAAAATAATCAACAAAGGAGCAGGAAAAAAAAAAGAAGAAGAACAACTCCCAAAACGATATATGCTCGTGTCATGATACAGACCGGGTGATATGGGGGCCGGTCCCCACGCCAGTCAAAGTTCTCACAAACCAATGCAGCCAGCTCTCCGTCTCGAGCTGCTTTTTCAGCTCTTCCGCTCGTCTCTCGACATCTTCAACCTGTCTCTCAAAGTTTTGGATGCCGTCTTCCACGTCGTTGATTTTCTGTACCAGCGCATTGATCTCGTAATCGAGGCGTGCCGTGAGAATTTCAATCTCCTTGACGCTCTCTGTCAGGCTTGCACGTTCTTCCGCTAGCATTTCGTCCGAGTTGTACTGGACTCGATGATATATTTCGCTGAGCTGGTGATGCAAGTGTTGTATTTCCACCTTGTCTCTGCTATATTTGTCGTCAAGCAGCTGGACAAACTTGATCTTGTCTTTGACCCAGGGTTCGATATCAAAGACAATGTTATCGATGCATTGGGCGAGTTGACGAGCATGCAAGGCTCGAACTTCGGTCTCCTCCTCATCGTCTGTCTCGTCCATCAAGTCGACAAGTTCTTCCCAGGACAGGACGGCTTCTTCAGCATCGCCAAATGACATGCGTCGTGCCCACCTATTTTCATCAAGTACTCTGCTTGAGCATAGTTCCGCCATATCCCAACTGCGACGCCTTGATAATGCCAGCTGCCGGAAATTGGATCTTTCCCTGATACCGGGACAGATGACTTCAATATCACTCTCATCACCAGTTGATGGCACGGCCGAAGCAGTCCTCTGATGCGAGTACTTGTGCATGTCCGGGCTGAGAATTTCCAACGATCTGTCTGATTCTCTTGGCTTCCTCTCATACTCCAGTAGCCTCGTCGCTCTCAAGTCCGCCGTTGATGAGGGCGAAGACACCGCCGCCGCAAGTCCAGGCAAAGCGTCAGGGTCTCCTCGTTTAATGGCAGAGAGATATTCCTCTGGCTTCGTCTTCCAAGTAAACGCTCGGCTAACCACAGCGGCAGGACTCGGCGGGATGCTAAGGGTCGGGTAGTTGGCAGATCCGTTTCCGTTTCCGTTTTCCAAGACATCCTCTTTTGTTGATATAGACAGTCGTGTTCCATGGCCTCTTCCCCTGGCGCCAACTACGTCCTTGAAACGTCCAAAGCCTGATCGAGCGTCGCTCATTTTTCCAGCAACGCTCTTGAACACAGTTTTGTGCAGCGCATCTCTTTCACCTGTTGGGCCCTCCAACATGCTCACGCTGGGACGAAGAGCAGCCCCAACATCTGGTGAGAGCAAGTCATCTTTCCGTTTCATCTCCAACTCATCCTCCACTGGCAAGGAATGAGTCCGTTTTCCGGGTTGTTGGCTACTACTCGCCTCCGTCTTTGGTAGGGGTGGAACGATGTCTTGGTCTTGATCATGATGTTCCAGAGGTGTTCGGCGCGGCTTGCCATGCCAAAGCCACTTTGGTCTTTCACCATATGCCAAGCTAGCAAATTTGTCAATGTCCACGGTTTCAATGTCGGCAAGGCCACCCTTGTCTTTTCCAGACACCATGTCGATAACCATCTCTCCCCTTTTACCGCCAATTTCTGTGACTGTCGACTTGATGGCCTTTTGCACACCCCAGTCTTCTTTGACTGCCGCTTTCGTAGTTGCCGTGTGCAACTTGAAAAGTGTTTGCTGATCTAGTCGTCGTGTCTTTTCCAGCTTCTGGGCCTTTTGAAAGTAGGAGATGCCCCGCTTGGTGCTCTCAAGATCAAAGACATCCTTTGAGACAGGGGCACCTTGCCAATGCAGTCGGTTTCTCGCGCCCAATAGCATCCCCAGCAGAGCTGCAACGGTCGACGGCCCCAGAATCCCATCTGTCGGTTCATAATTGTAGTGTTCGGCCCCAACCTCGGTCCACCAATTGTTGATTGCCTTTTCCGTGACATCGCAAAGCAGGCCGTCAATGTATGCGTGATCCAACTTGTCGAACATGAACAAGGCAACCTGGCAAAGTTTGATAAGTTCCACCACTGACTGGTTGAATGGGATTCGATCGCTGGTTCTGTAAAGCTGCTGGAATTTAGACTGAGTCGCCTCGGTGGGTTCCGTAAGCGTGAGACCAGATCGCCCCGAGCATCCTAGCCGTTTCAAATCTTCGTTGACGATGAACAGGTGGCGGTGCTGTCGGAGATCTCCATTGGGCACTGCAATGACGGTGAGCGATGACGGGAAACTGCTGAGATTCGTGATCATGAGCTCTCCCAGCTCGGTATTCTTTGGCCGCGCATGGTTTTGCTCCGTCTTTTTTAGGTATAATCGGACCTCCTCGGACAATAGGCTTTCGTCTGCTGGCACCGCTAGCACCCCAACCACGATGGAATCCTTTTCGTTGCCGGTGTAGGTCGTAATAACCAGAGTCGGCGGTCTCCTCGAGCAGGCCCACTGCTCAACAAGATACAGATCGTAGCCGCGGAGGACGCTTCGTCGCTGGACCACTTCCACACAGGGGTCGTTCTCGAGATACCTGGGTTGGAGACAGTCAGTGGCTCTGCAGCCTGCGATCCTGGACCCTCGTCAAACCTACTTGAAAGCGATGGGATCTGGGAAAACCAGGTGTCGCTGCGGCACTGCGGAGCTGGATGCCGCGGGCCTTGAGTCTACCATGTGCATCTCGGGGAGGGTCGAGGTCCCATCTGGCGGGAGAGGTCGAGAGATTCGGCGGTCCAGCTTTGACGTTGACGTGCCGGAGAAGTCTTCGTCTCGATAGACCCTCCCGTCCTGGGAGAAGGACGGCATGAAGGACATTGTGGAGTTGGCCAGCCCCTGGAGGCAAGCTAATCAAGGAGCATCTTCGAAGGCAAGGCACGCAGAGCCAGGCAAGCCAGGATCCGGATTGGCGATCCTGGAATTATGGCGCCTGCAGTCGCTGTGGCTTAGTACGTGTATTCCAGCTGGAGCGGCATGTGATGTAAGGTGGCAGCGCACTATCCAACTATTAACCGCTACTCCAGAGTCGAGACCTTGGTGCCTTGATTGATGCATCTTGAAGCTGCAGCTAGCAGCAATGGCCTGCTTCTGGCTTCCAGAGCGGGGCACGCCTGCTCCTTAACGGGGTTCACCGCTGATCCGAGGCTGCTAGTGAGGCCTCACAATCACGGCAAGCGGCCCAACAAGCTCGCACGTCATTTCGGTTTGCGTCCAAGACCACTTAGTATATGAAATCATATACATGAGATTGAGCTCATGTGTGTCAAAATTGCCATTCGTTAGCAAACGGGTATTTCATTACTACCTAGGCACTATGGAATAAGCACCTACATGTAATTTATTTGATTTTGTACCTGACACAAAGAATGTCTGAATCACAAGATGCCAAGGTCCTAATTAAAACTACAGCACCACACTGCATAAGGCGGTTATGCTTATTTGCATAACTCAAACGACGCCGTTCCTCATTCATTCTCCTTGACTCGCCATCCCAAACCAGTCTTGCCCAGCTATCGATAAGGTTCCGGCCGTACTTAGATGACAACCTCCAACCGCCGTCGGTCAACTTCACACCTCAACCTAGCAAAGACTTCTTGGAGAAACCCCGTCTGCAGGGCAAAAAATCCCCTCGTTCGCATCCCGATGACTTAGTTTACGAGCTTTAACGAACGGCTTCATTCAATAGACCTCTACATTGCTTCACAATCAAGGCATTCCGCGAGTGACCATGGCTCCGTTGGGCGGCGACATTGTCTCGCCGTTTGGCCCGCTGCAGGCCGAGCTGGCACGGATGAAGAAGTCGAATCTTACGGCTGCCATCCAGGACGTGGACAAGATTATCGATTACCTCGTGGCTGCCAGAGAGCAGGTTGCTGCTGGTATGGCATCCCTCCTCCGGTGACTCTGGAATGTGGTTAACATGTCTTATCTCGGCAGCCGACGCCGACTCCCATCGAATCAGCATGGCAATGACAACACTTCAAAACCCCGTCAAGGATCGCCTCGATGCCATCACCAATGATCTCAAAGACGTAACGAAAGCACAGCGGAGCTTTGGAAAGGCCCTGGACAAGGTATGCTTCCAGATTCATCCTCCCCGCCTAGCTTACACGCAAAATGCTGACTTTTGATCTTTTCCCGATAGGCCCTGCCGCATAGGGAACTACCGATGGAAGCAGATGCCATGGCCGACCACGCCGGTCTCATAAATCGCGCTATAGCCATGCATCTCGTCCGGGAGGGCCAGTTTTCCGTTGCATCGACCTTTGTCCGCGAGTCACGAGACCCATCTCTCCTTTCACTAGACGCCGCCTTGTCTCCTCGGACGGTGCGGACGGACGAAGATGGCGATGATGATATGATACAGGAAGATGGAGAGGAGGAGGAGGAGTGTGCGGGGCACGGAGCCAACAATTACCCCGAGGACCTACAAGGGCAGTTTGCAGAAATGTACAGCCTTCTTTCGGAGCTGAGAAATAGGAATCTTGGTCCGGCAATTAAGTGGGCACGCCAAAACAACAGCAGACTGGAGGCAACCGGAAGCAACCTGGAGTTTGAACTTTGCAAGTTGCAATTCGTCTGGCTGTTCAAGGGCCCCGAAGTAAATGGCCTTCCGGATGACGAGAGGAATGGGCAGATGGGCGCGCTGAGATATGCAAGGGAGAACTTTGCGCGCTTTCAAACGAGGCATCTGAAGGATATTCAGCAGTTGTGCGGAGCTATGGTCTTTGCACCCAACATTGAAAAGTCCCCCTACCGGCACATCTTTCAGATCGACTCGGCTTTCGAAGACGTCTCCGCCTCATTCACCAGAGAGTTCTGCTCTCTATTGGGCCTGTCGGCGGAATCACCGCTGTATGTCGCCGTCACGGCCGGGTCCATTGCTCTCCCGCGGCTCATCAAGTACACAACCTATATGAAGGAAAAGAAGACGGAATGGACGACGGAGAACGAGCTAGCCTTTGAAACACCACTCCCGCCATCCATGATCTACCACTCCATCTTCGTATGCCCCGTCAGCAAGGAACAGACAACAGAGCAGAATCCCGCAATGATGATTCCTTGCGGACACGTCATCTGCAGAGAGAGCTTGCACAACATGGCCAAGGGCTCGAGGTACAAGTGTCCCTACTGCCCTACAGAAGGCCATTTGAAGGATGCAATCAAAATCACCCTTTGAATGCCCATCTTTGTGTTATACAACATAAAACGACGAGGACCGAGCATCTTTTTTCCTTCTCTCTCTCTCTTCTTTGGTGGAGGGTTTCCACAGTGTGTTCCATGGTAATGGCCTCCATCCCGGTTTTCTTACTCTTATTATTTTTCGTCATATTGTTATTTGGCTTACCAAAGCGAGGATCATACATTCTTTGGGAGTAATTGGGCTTTTACGATAACTCAGCACCGCTTATGTTTTTTTGTTTTTTTTTTTTTCTTTTTTTTTTCTTTTCTTCTTTTCTGGGTGGGAACACGTCAACAAGGTTGGATTGGTAGCATCGTATTTTATTATATTTTTCTGGTTCTTTTCGTATTAGTCCGGTTTCAGATGAGAAACAACAAATCTCGAATAAACAACGTAGCATCACAATAAGCCTCATCTCGTAACGATGTTAGTCACATGGGGTTTTACTGCAGGCATAACTCAGTTTATTCACACAAATGAAAATAAAAGAAAGTAGAGAAAGTATTAACGAGAGGTTCATCACATTAAGGAAACAAATAGATAATTTTTTTCTGGAAAAAGAAAAAAAAACAAAAGTAGCCAAGGAGTGACACGGGTCATCTATAAGTCACCCTTTATATATCCTTCGATATGATGATCACGGGTATCCAAACAAAACTCCCCGCTGTCTTCGGTGGTATGCGAAGTACAGATCCAACGCCCTTCATTGCTGAGCCTACTTGACGAAGCAAACAAACAAAAAGAAAAAAGTAAGAAACTGACAAAGCAAAAAAAATTGGTATCCATTTAATTTACGGGATGTTATCAAAATATCCCCATCCAGCATAGCCTTTCAGAGTTAGCCTTTGTTATGAGCCTACATGAGGCGGCTCATATGTGAAAAAAAGGGGGGCCAACCCGTTCCCTTTCGTAAATTCGTTTCTTTGTACATTCCCATCTCCGCGACGCTTATTATTTTTTTATCCCTCTCCACTGTATGCGAATGACTCCATTAATCGATGGTCATGCGGTTGGCCATGGGAGTCTTGACATCGTTCATGCCGAATGAGTTGATGTCAGACTTCTCATCAACTCTGCGCGGGGCCATCAAGTGGGCCTTGAGGCCGGAGCCGAAGTTGTGCATGCAGATGATGGCGTTGATGATGGTCATGATGATAAGCAGAATGGTGATGACGGCAAACGCTGTGAGGGACTTTCGAACGGCCATGTAAGACTGAGCGCGGCTGGGTTCGTAGATACGGAAGAGCTTGAAGATGAAGTATGACAAGCCGCCGAAGTAGAGGATGATGACGACAATCATGCCGGGCTTGTTCTCTCGCTGAGTGAAGAATGCAGCAGCAATCAGAATGGCAATCGTGACGGGGATAGTGGCAATCGTGAGAGCGAATTCGGGATCCGTCTTTTGAGCGACGACGACGACGAACTGAATGATGAAGCCCAGGAAGAAGAAGAAATCGAACTTGAGCAGGGCGATATAAATCTAGCAATCATGACATGTTAGTTTGCATCTCCGTCTTGTGCAATTCACGACCAGAGCAAGCATACCTGGTAGTGAAGGAATCGCTTCTTCATGCGATAATCAGCACCGATGTTCTTGAGAATATCCCAGGCAAATTGCTGGTAGAGTTTCCAGGCAACATAGACCATGCCAATGGTGGCAACGGCAATGATGACAGGACTGGCAATCAGGTAGGCCTTGATATCACCCCAGAGCATAGCAGAGGTAATACCCTGTTCCAATGAACCGTGGGCCTCGAGGATTCCTAGAGCGACCTGAATCTGCTCAATCTGGAGGGCCGCATAGACCAAGAGCGCCAGGTTGGCGATACAGACACCGATGATCTGAATGGTGTTCTTCATGCGCAGCGCATCCAGGACGATGATCAACTCGTAAAGGAAACCGAAAATAAATAGAGTAAGAAAGGTAGGGATTGTCTTGTATTGAGACTGAACCTGGGGATCTGAGATGTAGTCGCCCAAGCTCAGCTGAAATTTGCCGAAAACATAGCTGTGATAGTCTTAGCATCCGGCGCATTCCTATGAATGTACAAAAGGGGGGATGTTGGTTGACATACGCTTCAAATGCCAGGTTGATGAGAGCCTGAATGCTGGTAATAGCCAGGAAGGTTGTGGGCCATTTGCTTTTTAAGAAAGCAAACTTCTTGCCAGTGCCGCCAGCAGCACCGACTGTTTCGGGGTCTTGATGAAGGCTCGCGTTTTCGGCATATGTGGGCTGAGCATAGGGTGCCTGTGTTAATGAAGCCTGGGGATAGGCCTGGCCGTATTCAGCGCCGTAGTCGCCGCTCTGGCTGACGGAGCGGTGATGATACTGGGCGCCATTCTGGTCGAAAGCCGGGTCGCCTCGGAGCAGGGAGTTCTGAGCTTCTTGTGTGGCCGCCACGATGGGCAACTGGTTGACTCCTGCCGGGAGTCTGCGGGAAGCGACGATTGGACAACGAAGTGCTGCTGGTGCTCCAAAGAACCGGAGCCGACTAATTCATTCCCAAGCTCAAATATGCTCGGGTGGGCTGTCTCGATGGCGATGGCAAGCGATGAAACGACGTCGATCGAAGGATGGTGGAAGGAAAAGTCGAGTAGTGAGAGAGAGAGCGAGAGAGAGATGAAGAGTTACGAGAAGTAATAATAGAAAAAGAATAAACGAAGTGGTACTGAGTAAGATGCGGGAAGAAGTAGAAAGAAATCTATCGGGCTGATAGAAATCACTTAATCGTTTGACAAGAAAGCCAACGAAGGGCCAAACAGAAACATGGAACAAACGAGAGACTCGAACAAAGATGGCAGGCAGTATGAGGAAAAGGGAAAAAACGCGGAAAGCGGAGGCGGCGAGAAAGGCTGCGCAGGACTAGTAGTAGTAGCAGGTAATACTAGCAGGTAGCAAAAGTCGAGATTCTGGGTAGGAGCGCCAGGGGGCAACTTCTGGTCGGGACGAGGGTTAGATGGGTCAAGGTGAAACGCACTTTCGCGAGGCAGGGGAGGCCGTGGCTCTTTGAGCTTGGCCGTCTGGGCAGTTACCTGTACTTGTACTTGGCTCACTTGGCTTTGGCGGGCAGGCGCGGCGGCGGGAGGGCTTTGCGCAGCGGGAGGGTACGAGGCGGTACTTTGAGCAGCCTAAGGATTAGCCTCGTCGCAGCGAGGGCTTGCACTGCATCTGGCCGTTGACACTACGACGGAGGGAGTATCTTTTGCCGGCCATTCTCGTGCGCACAAGTACAGGTTGGTACTGTGCTGGCGCACTCGAGTACGAGGTGACACTACAGTAGAGTGCCGTACTGTACATGTACGAGTACCCATCGCATGTGCTATGCAGTACCGCGGCCGGGATCAACAAAATGGGCCGGCATGATGGGGGCAATGCATGGAAAGCAAAGCAGAGCACCGCAAAAGCACAGCACAGCAGCAAGGGGGGCCGCTCGCGGAAGCCATGCATGCCTAGGCTGGGCTGACTGGGCGGAGCTGGAGCTACGTTAGCAGCTGTTGGCGTGCGATCAGCGCTGGAGCCCGGTGATTAGAATGGTGAGACATGTGTTTAATACGGGAGGACGGAGCACTTCGTACATACGAGCCCCCAATGACATGTTGGCCATGTGCCTTATTAGCATATTGCTACCTACTACTTTGTGAATTGGGCAATGTTTGTGCGCAGCAGCAGCAGAGATTAGATGGTATACTACGGAGTACTAAGAGCTAATGCTGCTGCTAAGTACCTAGGTAAGTACGCGTACCACTGGCTCAGGGTTTCAAAGCGCAGTTGATCCGTATCGTATCGTGATGAGCAATGATGATGACGGCGATGACGGCAAAGTGCAGCGCTCCGTCCATCCATACGAGCACTCACTTAGGCCGGTGCAGCGAAGCGGACCAGTGAGTGAGCGCGATGCATCTTGGTCTGCATCGCATGCATCCACGGCAACTTACTGCTCCTACCATCTGCCTAGAGCCGGACGGGAGTGCAGAGTGCCGTTCTTAAGCATCGAGGCTGTGCCGTTGGCTAACCACCATTCGCTCCCCCCTTGCCGAGGCCATGATCTTAAAAGTAACGACGATCGCTTCTAAAATCGCACCAAGAAAAAAAAATCTTGACATACCCAACTGGTGATCCTCCTGTAGCAGTCTCATCTCATTTCTCCACGGGAAAAAAATCGTGGCGTCAGCCGACCGCGCCGCTGGACAGGTATTTTTGGAATCCTGCAGTCAGCTATCGAGCACCACTGCGTGCTATTTTAATCCAGTGCAAAAGCAGCTCCAAGAGGCTTTTTGCTGGCTCGAGGCTGCAGGTACGAAGTCCCCTCCCGACCGCCACAAACGCTCAATGGCGTGAGAACAATCTCCTTAGTGTGCTGGCTTCCAGGCTACGGATCACCAAGCCGTGCCGGAGTTGCCACGCACTGCCCGACTTGTGCGACAGTAAAATTTGATGCCATTAACCCTTTTGTCTGAGGTGACTTCTGGTACTTGAGGTGCCGGGCTTCCAGGCAGGGCGATTTGGTGTTAGTGGACATGTACCTTTGAGTACCGCTCGTTATCGCACCCGCGGACGCGGTACGGTGGGGCACAACGGCAGCAACGGGTCTACGAGTGCGAAGTTATACGGTAGTCCGTATTCTCTGGAGGTCCCTGCCCAGGCGATGAGTTTTCTGGCGACTTGCCGATTCGGGGCATATCTTGCAAGCCCATCTCATCTTTATACTTAGGTATGTATCCGTAGGTCGTGCTCATGCATGCCGAGAATAGGACATCCATTCGAGAATAAAACATCTGCTGCAAAGCAACCACAACAAACGGCTTGTGCAGCTCAGGAGGATCGTAAGGGATGGTGGAAACGGCCAACACGTTCCTGGAAAGCAGTGGCCGCGCTTGGGAAGGGGGAGGTTGGCTGACACCAGTTCGTCTCAGCGCCACCCCGAAACACGCTGCAAACCCCGTATTGCATGTGCGTTCTCAAGAGGTTGCACAGGTGCGTCTTGGGCCTGCAAATGCGGCACAGCGGTGTTGCTGTTGGGCTGCCATCGGGTCTCAGACGCAGACGGCATCCGCATCGCCCAATGGCATCGCTACCTGTCCTATCTAAGGGGCCTCTCTTGGGCGGCTCGAGGGGTTGGCATGCCCGTGCACACGGACAACCCGCATTATAGTGACATCGACCGTTTGTTTCTTGGACCAAAAACAACGAAGGCGCAGATACAACAGACTGGTCGCTGGTACTTGGTAGGTAGCCAGCTCAGGTGCCAAGGAGACTCTCCCGGGAGACACTGCAGCCGGACAGCCATCACGTTTGGTACGTGTCACAGACTGAGACTCTAGACCTGCGTCTCGAAGGGGTTCGGTCTGGGCAGACTTGTGCTCCCCTTCCAGAGGCGACCAGAAAAAGGAAGATATCCAAAGGCATCGTCATGTGCGTGTACTACCAAGATGTATACAGCAACATGGGCAAGGCATTGATCATCTCGCTCGCAGCCGAATTGCATGTGTGCAATAATCAAAGTTGATAGAACAGCCTCCACTAAAAACGTGGCTGTACAGGGCTAGAAACGCATGCGCCGTACTGACAGAGGCCGCCAAGCTTTAGCTTGTTCTCACCTCCCCCAGCTGCCCGGCACATTGCGATCTTAGCAACGCCTGTAGTGCCTTGTTAGCTGCCATTGGGCCCCTCCGAGATCCGGTAAAAAATATCATCGCATGAATGTGCGTTTGATGAAATGACGTTTGTATGGAGATTGAGATCTCGCTGTGCATTTCAGGGCCTGTACGGGGTGCGTCCTGACTAAGGGACATTCTCCATGTCGGTGATTGGACGCGCGTCATCGTCGACGGACTGCGTGTGGGTAAAGCCCGGCAGAGACACGCCGGTGGTAATGTAATGCGATGGATCAATTCATTCGAACTAATTTGTGCACATCGTTGATTGATCCCTTATCCTCAAACCGGGGGGCATGCAGACGAGGTGCAGCGAGCTGAAGAACCATCAAATGCTCAATCTCAGCCTGCTGTCCAGTACCTGATGCTAGGCACAGGCAGTTGTTAGTACCTAGTTGGCTTCTATGAGCCACACAGAAAGCCACTCATCGTCACCACTCATACAGAGAGCTTCTGGTTCGCCCCTTAAAGACCCAACGGCGACACCCCGCAATGGAAAATGGCCCCTCATGTTGCTCGCCCATAGTCTCTAATAGCTCGGCCTTTCAGCTGGGCCAGGTTCATCTTCTGTTGCAGCTCGCCAACTTGGCACGGCGGGGTAGTTTGCAGGTGCATAGAGTGGCCTTACGTAGTTCCGTATATATCCATTCCATCCCATTCGATTCATCCTCTCGACCATTGATCATTGCATTCAAACTATACACGGCCGTATTCCCTACTCTTTTCTTTTACTCTCTTGTAACATCTCCCACCGTCTGGATTTAACATAGCAAATATGGACTCCATCTTCAACGCCGGCAAGGAGTATCTCGGACAGCAGCTCCAGGAGCAGCTTTCTGGCTCCCACGGTCAAGGTATGTGCCGCATGCATTGTCTGCCACCATCAGACATAAAGCTTCCCAATCACAGAAGCAATACTCTACTCTACTCATGGTGATTTGAAAACTGACAAGTCCCTCCAATCAACAGGAAGCCAGCTCCCTCCCGGAAACAGTCAGTTCCCTCCCCTACCCCTCGTAACACATAGACTCCGAAGCATGTCATTCCTGACTCGAAACGATGTCGCGATTCTATAGAGGCCTACGGAGGCAATTATCCCGCTGGCGGCGATTTCCACCACGACGACGACGATCTGCGCACTGCGCACCAGCAGGCCTCCCAATACGCCGGCTCATCTGGCAGCAGCGACATCTTCTCCAACGTCATCAACAGCCTCGGCCAGAAGAAGAGCAACTTGGCCAACAGCGATATCGATGAGCAAGGTTAGTCAATATCAATATCTAATGGTTGGACACGCTTGTCATACCTGCTGTGAAGAATCCCAAGTACATGGATAGGGGGCTACATGCTAACCATTGAAACCCCCCTTCGAATATAGATGCTATCCGCAAGCACAAGGAGACCTACGAGCAGGACGCCGACAACCTAGATTCCCACAGCCTCGGCTCCGCCGCCGCTCTACAGGCACTGAAGAAGTTCACACAGGGCGAGACTGGCGGCAACCAGAGCCAAGGCGCGTTCCTGGGCCTGGCCCTGTCCGAGGCCAGCAAGGTGAGATACTATGGAGGGGGGGAATAACATCCTGGCTACCTCCCATGCTAATGGATCACCAGCTCTTCGACAACAAGGCGGCCGATGGAAAGGTGGCATCCGATGCCAGCAAGGAGTCTGCGATCCAGCAGGCTGGCGAGATGGCTTTGAAGATGTACCTCAAGAGCCAGGGAGGCAACCAGGGAGGATCCTCTGGACTGATGAGCATCGCTTCCAAGTTTTTCTAAAGGGCTGACAGCATGCCTTCATGTTTTCATGTATAAGTGTGTTTTATCTACGTGATTTTAGCAGTCGTTCAGCCCCAAGAGGGAGACTTGATCAATGATGAGCTTACGAAGATTTGACGCCCCAAACTGATGAAAATTCCCAACAGACTTGTTGTTTTGTAAACATTGCTTTTTTGTCACTCAAATATGAAATGTGGCCTGCCTAGGTATATATGATGTGTTTGATCCCCCTTGCCTTACTGTTGGCCTTGAGCCAATGCCATCACATCCACCCATGTATCAGGCCGTCTACGTCCCTCAGGGTACGTCTCGTGTAAATACTCCTCGGCCTCCCGCGCCCACGCCAACAGCTGCTCTTCGCTCCCCCACTCGCCCGTGGCGAGCAAGCTGACAGGCAACTTCCCCTCACCCTGCTCAGGATCGACATACCCTACCGGCGCTGAGAGGGAAGGGGTGCCTGTCATATTGGCCAGGAATACGTACGACATGTTTCTCATGGTGATGTTGGTGTCGCTCATGCCATAGGAGTCGTCACCGGGCGACCGCGGCCATCCAATCAGCGGCGTCGCGGGCGTCATAATCAACAGGCCCGGGTACTTTTGGAAGAGAAAGGCTAGATGATTCATCAAGACGGTGCGAAGGGAGTTTGCCTTGAGATAGTCGCCGCCGGACACCTGGGCGCCGATGGAGAGGAGGACTCTGTTGGCCGGGCCGGCCAGGGACAGGTTGTCCGCCGGGTTGGGCGTCCTGCGGCGGTTCTTTACAGCCATCTCGCTGATGCAGAGAGCGGCGTGGGCGACCTGGGCCTCGGGGAGGAAGGGGATGCTGATGTCGACAATCTCGTAGCCGCGCTTGGAGGCGAAGTAGTCGAGCGCCCTGTCGCACATTTCCCTCACGGGGGGGTCGGCCTTGTTGAACCAGTCGCGGAAGACGCCCATGACACGCTTGGCGGACGGAGCCGGCGGCAGCGAGAGGGCGAAGCGGCCCTGTGTCGGGCAAGAGGCGTCGGGCTGGGACATGAGGCGGTAGGCGATGGTCAGGTCGGCGACGTTTGCGGCCAGAGGGCCGGTGACGCACATGGTGAGCTGCATGACGTGGGTGCGGTGGTGGGTGGGCTTGAGGCCGTAGATGCCGTTGAAGTTGGCCGGGATGCGGACGCTGCCACCGGCGTCCGTGCCCACGCAGATGGGCACGACGCCGGCCCCGATGGAGGATCCAGCTCCGTTGGATGAGCCTCCGGGATAGTAGGCCTTGTTGAGGTGGTTTGTGGGCGTCCCTTGGGCAACCTATATGACGGTTAGTATGTCAGTATATCATCTACATGTAAGTAGGTAGCCGGTATATGTGAGGAATTACATTTACACCGCTGGTATCTGTTTAGACTTGATCAGTACACTTATCAAACAACTCAAAACACATGAAAAGCAGTGGCTGCTACTGTACCTGATCCCAACTCATGCATCTTGTTCTTGCCCAGTACAATGGCTCCGGCCTCCTGCAGCTTCTTCACAGGCCACACAGTCTCCTTCTGCGGCGCAAAGAATGGAAGCGAAGCATTGTACTTCAAGCCAAAGTGGCTAACGTAGCCCTTCACCTCCGTATCATCCTTGACTCCAATCGGCACGCCATCCAGGACGCCCAGCGGCTGTCCCGCAGCCCACCGCTCCGTCGACGCCCTGGCCGCCTCGAGAGCGAGCTTCTCGGCGCCGTGAGCGTCCGCCCAGGCGTCGCTGTACTGGCCCGCGCCGGTGGTCAGGCCGAGCAGCTTCTCGACCACCTGCAGCGGAGTGGCGTTGCCGCTCTTGTACAGGGCGTGGTAGTCGCCGGCGGAGTAGTATCGCGCCTTGGACGAGGCGTGCTGGGAGGTGAGCAGCTGCGGCTCGAACTCAATCATGGGCCCAGTCTGGCCCAGCGGTGTAACGGTAGGCTGCAGGCACACAATGTCTCATCATCAGCCAAGACTCGGCATATTTTTCCCCCACCAGAATGCAGGATTGAGAAGGGGTGGCGGCGTGTACGTACATGGAACGTAGGTGAAACATCGTCCAAGACTGGCATGTCTTTGATCTTGGTCATGCCAGCGTTGGCGAGAAAGTACCTTGAAACAATACCGCTGCTAGATATTCTGCAGAGGGATACGGATTAGCTTTCGGCATTGTAATTGAGCTTCTCTTTTTCTGTCTTTCTCTCTTGATTTTTTTAAATCTTGGTTTTATGAATACATACATTCCGGCGCCTAGGACAAGAGGCAGCCCCCGGAGCACCGGGTTATGATCTATCCTCTGATGGTATCCAGTGTCCGGTCCCTCAAGGACATCAGGGTAATTGGCGAAGCTCTCCGGAGGAGCCATGGTCGGTAAGTGCTAAGCGACGAGTTTCAAGATGTCTCGGAAGATTTTGGGGTGTGTGGCAGCTCACAGCTCGGTGAAGCGCCAGACCTGCGGGTGCATGTTCAGTCATTTTCCTCATTGATCATCCCGTGCTTGGACGAACCGTGACAGCTCAATTACCTGGTATGTAGTATGTTGGGCGCAGGGCAATCAATCACTGGAGTTGGTATGTGGTATGGCGTGAAATTGGTCAAAGCACAAATTGAGAAGAAAAAAAATACAAGCTTTCTTTTCTTTTCTTTTAAGCTTGATGTATCATGTTGATCGCTGATTGAGTGAGCTGATGGAGGTCAGCAAAGAGGCACATCCGAGGCTCTATGGCGCTGTGGAGATTGAATCCAAGGCTAAGCACAGAGTCTAGCGATGCGGGAGCTGCATCGAGCAAAGACGCGGGGTTGTTCTGCGGTTAATCCCGTCTAGAGAATTTCATGTGAAAGCAATTGGGACAAAAGTTCGTAAATCATCTTTCGTTCTTGTTGCTGGTCGGTGGGCATGGAGGCATTTTGAAGACCGATGTGACAGCTCAAGCGTGTTTGCTTGTTTGCTTGTTTGCTTACCCGGGCATGTGCATCTTGAATGACCGTAACCGTAATTCTTACACGGCCCCAGAAATTTTTATGCTTTTGTTTTTAAAACCTTGTTTTGTTTGATAGCTCCCTCTATTTCCCTTGAGTCTATAGGTGAACTTATGAAAGGGCTACCTGTACTATTGTGCGTGGCCTAAAGCATCTTTTTCTACCACCGATTAGGTAGATAAGTATTCGAAACGACCAGCCTGAACTACCTGATAGCTCACACAGAAAGCAATAAAAAAAAATTAAATATCAAATAACATAAAGAAAGCCTTATTCTATGCGTGTATTTCCAAGATATCAGCAGAAAACGTGAGAAGCCAATTGGTAGTTCGCCACGTTCATCCATTTCCGTCTAGTTCTGCTTCCAATTGTTGCCTCCCAATGGTATCATATTCGTGTACAGATGCCCATGCCCAATTTCATACAAAAGAAAAGAAAGAGAAAAAAATCCACCATGCATTCCCCACCCCCAGAACAATAACAACAAGAACAGTATAGATGTAAGCAAGTCCCCGTCGCCAGTGGTGTATGCGTCTTTGAACCCAACCAAACTCCGTATCAGGATTCCGTCGTAAAAGCAGTCAGCGAGGCTCCGGTCCGGTCGCGTTGTATAAGTATTTCTCGTCCCTTCCCTCTCTTCATCGTTTTCTTTCTGACCAACATCTTCACCCGTTAGCCCGGAGTTGGCTTGGCCACCGGTGTGCTGACGCTGTTGCGCTTCTTTTCCTTCTTTGCCCATCGCAATCCGCAGGCGTTACAGAGTGTCTTTGGCCCGTTGGGTCCCTTTCGCCATTCTGGAGAATCAAGAGTGCCTAGAAAATTTGATATTAGCAGCTGGCTCGATGAGGATGACCGGGTCATGAGGAAGGGAAAAGAACTGAAAATGGGGGGAAGGTTATACCGCAATCTGTGCAGACATATTCCTCTGCCAACTTGAGCTTCTTCTTCTTATCGCCTGATCTAGAATCCCTATCCATGGGCATGGCAATTCCCGCATCACCCTTGATAAGAGTAGGGCTCCGGTTGCCGTTGCTCATCCGTTCCCCATTCTCTATGCCTGTCAGCAGAGCTATGGTATCCGCGGAGGATGCTTCGAATCGAGCCATTTTATCACGCAGCGAGTCCTGGCGACTGCTTGCTGTGACATCTTCTAGGTTCTTCCTGGTCAATGCTCCATCGGTATTTGCCGATGATATGGACTTGTCGGTAGGCATGCTGGGGCCTGCGTAAGCTGTCGAGGACGATGCACCGGCATCCTCAGACGTAGTCATATCCGATCTGCCCTGCGCCCACTGTCTTTGCGCCTCCTCCACTTCTGCCTCCTCCTCTGCCCGCAGCTCGGCTATGCGACGCCGCAGCCTCTCATTTTCAATCTTGTGCTCCAAAAACGAGTCTAGCAGCGCGGCGTTTTTGGTCGGATAGAGGCGTGCCATCATGAAGACGGCCTGGCAAAAGGGCGACTGGTTGTTTGGATTTGGTGCGAATCGGGCAGCCGCAATGTGGGCGTGGCCCACGGCTTCGAAGATGGCATACGTCCCATCTTTCTTCTTCATACGGTAGAACATGCGCAGCGGGTTGCCAGTTGCGATGGATTCGTGGAGCTCAGCGACGAGCACGCCCTGGTCGTCGGGATGGATCAGATGCTTCAAAAAGGTGTCTTGGACCTCCTCCACGGCGTAGCCGGCCAGGGCGGTGATGCTGGGCGACACATATCTGATGCGGCCGTTGGAATCGAGAATCTGCAGCAAATCGCGAATCTCCTCGACCACCTTTGCCGGCCAGTTGCGTCTCTTGGTGAACTCGGTCAGCGGGTTGTTGCTGGACATGGCGGGTGGTGCAAAAGCGGCTGCTGGCAACGGCCCCGCACCGGGGATATCGTTTGCGGCGGTGTTGAACTGATCCTGGGCCTTGAGGATGGCGTCTGGAGAGATGAGGTCGCTGGCGTCTCCGTCCATGAGGGCTGCCATCGGGTCGGTGTTGAGGCTCATGTCTCCGCCAAACTGCGCCATCAGGTTGCCCTCGAGAAGTGCCATGGCGTCGTCGTCGTCGTCGTCGAGCCGCAGCGCATCAGAAGCTGGAATGCCTTGGCTGGGGCCTGCTCCCGGGAACATGGGCAGCACATCGAGGTTGCCGAAGCCAAAGAAGTCGCCCTGGAGTGGAGGTGGGCGGGCCATGGTCGCGGTATGCTATACCACCAGCTTTTGAATTCTACGCATCAAGGGCGAGCCAGGTTAGCGGCAGCTCCTCTGCGTTCAGTGGCGCTCTGGGGGCTTTTGTTTGGTGAGGGGCCGCGGCTCATGCAGCGTGCTTGTCCAGGGAAGCTGTCGTGTAGCGCGTATTGTGTCTGTTGCTGGTTGGCGGCAAGGAAGGGAAAGGGAAAGAAATCCGTTGAGGGAGAGGAGCGAGATGCTGTATATACTGTACAGCACAGCACAAGGAAGCACACGCACACGAGAGAATCCAAAGCAAGGCTTTTCAGATATGTATGGATATGGATGCGATATTTCAGCTAAGCTGGGGCCAGGATTTTTGCTAGCAGGGCAGCGGGCTGACTGATGGCAGGCAAAGGCAGGCAAAGGCTGGGAAAACCACCACGCAGACGCTGTTCTTGTACCAAGACATGAGCCCGGCCGGAGAAATGGCCCCGTGAAAAGCGGGCTTTGCAGGTTCTTGATTGGGGTTGTTTCAAGGTCTTGTCCATAATTGCTTTTTCCTCTTGCTAGCCCCCTACTACCAACCACTAATCCATACTACAGCATGTACCACGAAACACTCCCGGCTGCCAACATAGGGATTGATCGCCTGGCTCCGCTAGCAGCAACAATGTCTGGCAGCAAGAAGCCTAGCGGGGTTGAAGAGCTGAGCCAGTTGAGGACGAGCGAGGCCCAAGATGCCAGGGATGACGCAACGCAACCTCCCCAATCCTGCGGCGCTGGCTAGCGGCTGCAGCGGGAAGATGTCGATTACAACGCTAAAAAAGCGGCCCTCTTAGGGGACTAAGTGCTAAGCTGGGCCTTGTTTTTTTTTGATTTGATGTGATGTGAGTGGTCTGAGACATGTGCAGCATTGAAGCGTATGATCCTGTGAGTATTCCATGGTTACATACCTAGAGGTAGGCACTTATTGCTATGTGGTCAAGCAAACACTATCAAACCCTACAGCCATTCCCATGTATAATCAAGGTAGCACCGCAAATCAACTGGGTGCACTGAAAAAAGGCCTGCTGACCGGCGTCGTGCCGGTTGTGCAGGCTCTCACAGCTAGCAGGCTGCGGGCCAAGAGACAAGTGAATCCGATTCGACCACTTGGCTGGCTAGCAGCGTGCATCTCCGGGGGGGGCCAGATGGACAATGCAAGGGAAATCGCTTCCTGATGTATCACTTTTGCCTGTGCCTAGGAGCCAATACGGAGAACAGACAAACGAACGAACCGATACTACTAAGGTTCTACTGCAGTAGGGTATCTCGCTCACGTTGGTACAAGGCTTGGGACTAAAAACAGGTAAGGTACCTAGGCAGTGACAGGGAGTATCAAGTACTGCAGAGCACACAGTACAGTCCTCGTACAAGTTCAGCCACCCACATCCAAGCACGGCGAGATTCAAGATTCACACAAAACAAACGCAATGCCGTTATCGCCACCGTGGTTGTAGTTATGCATCCCTTTGCACACACATTCACTATCCGTGATGCCACATTTCGAGCAGTGGGACGCCCCCAGTCGTCAGTGGCTGCGTGCCACAAGGGCTACCCTTATTTGGTTTTGGCTGCACAGGCCAAGTTTCTAGTGGGCTGCTCAACTTTACGTAGCACTAAGTAATGCTTTAGCCTGGGCTGCAAGAGGGGTCAATCAATCTTATCGCACGTGAGGACGCATCAGTTAAGCGCACAGCGCTCAACGCGTGACCGCTGCCTGGAGCGCGTTCGCAGTGAGTGAAGCCATTTGGGTATCGCCAAGGTATCGCCAGGATATCGCTAGGACATCTGTGAATTCGAACCCCAAGCCCAAGGCGACGATACCGAGGGAAATGCCTCGACGCTAACCGCACAACAAGCGGCAGTTCATCATTGGATCCCACCAGAATCGCCGTCTGTCTCTACAACTGAGGCAATCACAGTTCTCATCATGTCGAGAATAGACAAGCTCTCCATCTCCGGCGTCCGCTCCTTCAGCCCGGCTGTTCGAGAGGCCATTCAGTTCAACACCCCGTTGACTCTCATTGTTGGCTACAATGGATCCGGAAAGACGACAATTATTGAGTGCCTGAAATATGCAACCACAGGCGAACTGCCTCCCAACAGCAAGGGCGGCGCCTTCATCCATGACCCAAAGGTAAGGCCAAAAAAACTTCGAGGCTGGTGTCCGCGCTACCATTGTGTGTTTTGCTCGCTAATGACAAGCGCTTCGTATACAGCTCGCCGGAGAGAAAGAGGTCATGGCCCAGGTCAAACTACAGTTTCGCTCCATCAACGATCGACAACATGTGGCAACTCGAAGCTTACAACTCACCGCAAAAAAGAACACCCGGTCACAAAAGACGCTTGACTGCTCATTAGTGGTTGTCAACAATGGAGAACGAACGACTACATCAACTAGGCAGGCGCAGCTTGATGAGATGATTCCTGAGCGGCTCGGTGTTTCTCCAGCTATTCTCGACGCCGTCATATTCTGTCACCAGGATGAATCTCTCTGGCCGCTGAGTGAGCCCTCAGCCTTAAAGAAGCGCTTTGATGAGATTTTTGAAGCTCTGAAATATACAAAGGCTATTGAAAATCTAAAGGTGCTCCGGAAGAAGCAGGTGGAGCAGCTTGCAAAGCTCCAAAACGACGAGGCGCACAACAAGGTCAACAAGGACAGAGGCGAACGGGCCGAAAAGCGTATGACTGCGTTGCAGGCAGAAATTGAAGCAGCTCGCGACAAGTGCGAATCGCTCACAAAAGACATGGAGCAAACGCAGGATAAGATACGCCAAAAACATGAGCAAGCGAATAGTTTCCTACAAATCGTGCAGAATCTCAACAACAAACGGGAGCAACTTGAATACCGGCAAGATGCTGTTAACGAGCTCAGACAGACGATTGACGAATTGCGTGAAGATGATGCGACCCTCGAGCGCTCATTATCCCAATACGAAGAGAGCATGGGTCGCTATCAACAAGAAGCCGAGCAGAACAAGGCACAGTATGCTGAGCTCCAAAAAGAGCTGGCGAAGCATCGCCAAACCCAGTCGGCAAAGTTGGCCGAACAGGGAAAACACCAATCAGATAAGGACAAGTATGAGCGCCAGCTCAAAGCAAGGGTGGAATTGATTCAGGAAGCCGCACGACAGTACAACCTCAGAGGTTTTGACGAGGACCTAAATGACCAACATATCCAAGCTTTCCAAGACAAGATTCAAAAGCTCTTGACAGAAAAGAAGAGAGACTTGGAACGGCTGCAAAAAGAAAACGCTGCGGAGCTGGACAAGGCCACGGGTGTCATTACAGAGCTTGAGGGTCGCAAGGCAGCCAGAACGCAAGATCGTGTTTCTGCGAAACAGCGCATGGGGGCCATAGAAAAGCGAACAAGCGTCCTCCAAAATGAGGCCGGGAGCATTGATGTTGATGAGGGAGCCAAGGCTGTCCTGGATGGACAGCTTGAAGAGCTGGAATCCAGGCTCAGGCATGTCCAACAGGAAATGGACAAGTCTAACTGGGACCAGCAGCTGACTGAAGCTAATGACAAGCAATGGCAGCTGGAAAATGAAAATGAAAAGCTAAGTCGTGAGCTTGTCGAATGCACAAGGCTAGCATCAGAGCGGGCGCAGCTTGAGCTCCGCAAGAAAGAGATGGCAGATCGGAAACGAAAGCTTGAAACGCTGACAGAGACTTGGAAACCTAAACTTGATAATGTCCTTGGAGCTGATTGGGAACCTGAGTCTGTAGACTCTCGCTTTCAGTCGGTCCAGAGTCGTCAAAACAAAGCCCTTCAAGATGCACAAAAACGTCGAGACCAGACGAGACAGAAGCAGCAAAAGGTTGAGTACAAGCTGAAAAACGCAAGAGAAACGCACGAGAAAAAGACCCAAGAGATGGCCCGGAGCAAGCAAGAAGTTGTCGCTGCGCTGCAAAACGTACGCGACGGTGCTGTTGTAGAAGACTATATGGAAGAAGTTGCTGCGGTTGAACAGCAAGTCGAAGAGCTCCGGACTGATCTTAGTCTCTTTGATGCTCTCTTTGACTACTACAACAAGTGCAGACGAATGCTGGATACCCAGAAGAGATGTACGCTTTGCGACCGTCATTTTGATGATAGCCAGAGCGCAGCTCTCGACCGCCTCAGTAAAAAAATTGATAAGCATTTGAATCCGAAAGGCAAGGTTGATACGGAGAAGGATCTGAAAGAGGCTGTGGACAATTTGGAATCGTTACGTGCAGTTCGCTCAGCGTTCGACACGTATGAGCGGCTTTCAGCAGAGTTGCCTGCTCTGCAGAGCGAGGTGAAGACTACCGAGGGAGAATTTGAGTCTCTGGAGAAACAGCTCGAAGAGGAAGACGCTTTCGTTGTTGCAGAGGAGGAGAAGCTGAGAGATCTCGGAGATCTGGCAAAAACAGTCACCAACATCTCTCAAACGGTTAGAGAAATCAAAGATGCCGAGGCTCAGGTGGACCGCATCGTATCTCAGCAATCATCCAGCGGAGTTTCTCGCAGCGTCGAGGAGATTCATGAGCTTCAGTCAAACTTGTCTGAGCAGCTCAGAAGCCTCAAGAACAAAATCTCCAAGCTCACGGCTGATAAGCAGCGGATGAAGGATCAGATCAACTCACTTGAGCTTGAGAAGAGCGAGCTGCGAAACAAGATTGGTCGCACCGCAGGTCAGCTTGAGAAGAAGAAGGATCTCCAGAACCAGATCCAAACTCTCAAGGAAGATTATACGCATCAACGTGAAGTGATTCAGCGGACTGATGAAGAGCTGGAAAAGATTGAGCCGGGCATTGCAGAAGCACGGTCAGCGCGCGACGAGACTCTTCGTCATGGACGATCCAAGGAGCAAGTCATCACGGATGAGCGAGATGCCATCATGAACTCGATGAGCGAAATCAAGATGGTGGATAACGATATCCAAGACTACGTTGACCGTGGCGGTCTAACCAACCTTGCTTCCAACCAACGGGCCATTGCCTCTCTTGAGACAGCCATCAGCACCACGGAGAAGGAGATTGCTGATCTTACCGTGCGGACGAACAAGCTTAAGCAGGACATTGACAGTGGGGACCGCAAGAAGAAGAACATCAGCGACAATATCAACTACCGCAAGCATTTGCGAACGCTCGATGTCCTACGGACAGACATTGAAGCACTAGAGGATCGGAATGCCCATGAGGACTACGAACGTCTCCAAGCAGAGGCTCGCTCGCTAGAGAACATGTCCAACCGGCTCTTGGCCGAGCGTGGATCTGTCATGGGCACAATGAAGTCCAAAGATGAAGAACTCGGTCGCCTCTTGCAAGAATGGGAGATGGATTACAAGGACGCCAAGCAAAAGTATCGTGAGTCCCACATTCGGGTTGAAACCACAAAGGCTGCGATTGAGGACTTGAGTCAATGCACTGCTACCGTCGACAAGGCAGTGATGCAGTTTCACGCCATGAAAATGGCAGAGGTCAACCGCATCGCCGGAGAGCTGTGGCAGACAACATACCAGGGCACCGACATTGACACCATCCTCATCAAATCAGACAACGAAAACACCACGGGCAAGCGCAATTACAACTACCGCCTCTGCATGGTCAAGCAGGACACCGAAATGGACATGCGCGGGCGCTGCTCGGCCGGCCAAAAGGTACTCGCCAGCATCGTCATCCGCCTGGCCCTGGCGGAGTCGTTTGGCGTCAACTGCGGGCTCATTGCGCTCGACGAGCCGACGACGAACCTCGACAGGGACAATATCAAGTCGCTGGCCGAGAGCCTGCATCGCATCATCCAGACGAGGCAGCAGCAGAGCAATTTCCAGCTCATTGTGATTACGCACGACGAGGAGTTTTTGAGGCACATGCGGTGCAGCGACTTTTGCGATAGCTTTTTCAGGGTGAAGAGGGATGAGAAGCAGAATAGCGTGATTTCGAGGGAGAGCATTACCAAGATCTTTTAGGGGGTTCTTTTCGTCAAGCTGGATGGTGGGTTTGCGGCAAAAGGTTCATTTAGTCCACGACCTTGATTTCACGTTATTCATGGTACTGGAGTTGGCTGCAAGGATATTCCTGGAAGAGTTATTGGCAGCAATGTGCATGTGCATATTTATAATTTATACGGGCTTCGATCAAAAATACAAATAATCGGCAAACTATCTAGTAAGATAGCCAAGAGAAACCATGTCTTTGTCTTGCTAATATCTGAAAACAATATAATAAGATGTAAAACACAATCGGGTATCAGAATGCTCAATAACCCTAAACACAACATCATGAATATGAAGAAATCAACCAAAAACACAGCCCACCCACATCCATCTATCCATGACTGGATAAAGGGGGGAAAAAAGAAAAAAGAAAAAAAAAAAAGACCACCCATAAGTACACAACCCAATCTCTCTCCCGTTCCAAGAGAAGTGCATCCAACCCAAGGCTGCATTTGTATAGCCCGACAAAAGAAAAGATTGCGCTTTGCACCGCTCATGACCGACCTTGAAACTCCGTGATCCTCCCCCCTTTTTTTCTCCTTGAAAGGCATACAACGATAATGATAAAAAGGGGGCAATGATGCATGTATGCCACATGCACACACTACCCGAAAATGTAGGCAAATCAGATTCCTCCCCCCGTAAAAGTCAAAATAAACAACAAGGCCGAATCAAGTTTTTTTCTCTAACCAAGTCATTATATCAAATCTCAGTTTGATGTCATTTCATTTTTTTCCCTTCTTTCTTTCTTTTTTTTAATTTATCCGCGGGCTCTTTCTCCTAGCCATACTCTCCGCTAGAGCCGTCAGGGGTAAATTCTCACGGCCCTCGCCAAGCACACTGCGCTTCCCCAGGCTCGTTCGCGCGGAACGGGTGCCGCGCTTAAACAGCGAATTGTCCGATGCGAGAGAATTGATGCTTGAGCTGGGCTCAAAGGAAATGCCGCTGGCGCTGAGATTGGGGTTGACTTCTCGCAGGCTTGCAGTCCTATCTGAGATACTATCAGTCGATGGACGATCTGGTGTGCTCGTCTTTCTTAAAGAGGCATCTAGATCGGCAAAGACAATAGTGTTGTTGTCGTCGTCATCTTCAGTCTCAGTTAGGCCAGAAAGGTCTTCATCAAGCTTCGAAATGATGACATCGTGCGCCTCGGTACGAGGCAAATTTGTCGGGAACAGATACTGTGCTTTCTGAGGAGTTTCTCCCGTGGGGCGATAATCCTGAAGTGCCGTCTTGCCAATCTGGTCGCGCAGGGCCGATAGTGGTTGGCATATCTGAGCCGTGAGAGGCTCGAGGCTATGTTGCAGATCGCTGGCGTCAAGGTCCATGACCTCGCCGAGGTTGTTGACGCGATCAAACGTGGTCTTAAAGTGAGCGGAAATATTGCCAAACGATTGATCCACTGTGTTGGACAGGGCCTGGAGGGATTGCGTATGCGTTTCATGATGGGCGCTGCTCTCAGACTTGGCACGAGCCACAAAGTCGTCCATAGCTTCCATCTGGATATCCAAATCATCAATCTGAGCACCCACCACGCGCACAGTCTCAGCATGCACCTGGTTCGCCTTGGTTCGGATGGCGGTGCTGCGTTCCTCTGCCGAGTTCCAGTCGTCCTTCAGCTTTGTCTTTATCTGATCGCGCGACTTCTTGACTTCTTCCAGCAGCTCACCCTCCTTTTCATCCCAGGCATCCATGCCTTGGCCGTATTGACTAATTGCCCCCTCGAGAGAGGTGTTGTATTCGACCATGTTCTTCTGCATCTGCATGGCCCTATCTGCGAACCGGTTCTCCTGCGCTTCGGCCTGGGTCGTGACCAGGGCCGAGATTTGGGACAAAAGTTTTTGGCGTTCCTCGGCCGCGTGCCGCCTCTCCTCTTCCAACGCCTCCTGCATGCGAGCCGATATATTGGCATTCTGGAGCTTAATGGTATTTGTGGCACTTTGCAACTGCCGCCTCAGGTTGTCAGACTCACAGCGCTGGGTGGTGATGTGCCGGACGAGATCCTCAAAGATGGACTTGAAGTCCTTGCCCAGGGAACTGTACGAAGTGTGAAGCTGTTCGTGGAACTCGCTCATCTCGTTCAACACATCCCCTGCAATCTTCTCCGCGGCATGTGATATGGCTTGGAGACTTTCGCTGACTCGTTCCTTGACGTTGTCGCGAACCTCCTTGATCTCTTCCAGTACCTCGTCCATGTCCTCCTTGGATTGTTGCTTCTGCTCCAAGAGCAGTCTCTTGGACTCTGCAAAAGTGTCTAGATTCTCGTCCAAAAAGGCTTGTGTAGCAGATAGCTTCTGCAGCTCTTCTTCGACAAACGTCTCCATCCGTCTTGATACACTCAAGATTTGTTCTTGCTGCTCTTCCTGGAATACGCGGACCCGTCGTTCCACCATCGACGTTATCTCGGCAACCTGAGACTGGGATGAGTTCCAAGCCGTCCGGTTCAACAAGTGCAGGTCTGATTTGCGCTTATTCTTTGCGTGTAGGCCATTGACGTCTTTGACTGTCTTCTGCAGCTTGTCAATCAGTACACTGCCAATCTCCGTAAGCTTCTCCTCCGTCTCCTCGTGGGCCTTGCGCAGCTCCGTCTCCTCTGCCAGAGTCTTGCGAGTCGCCGCGAGGATAATGTCTGTTTGGTCAAGGACTCCTTGGGTATCTTCCAATTGTGCCTTGGTAGCCTCGTTTTCCTTCTTCATGCCCATGAATGAAATGTTGAGGGAAAAGAGCTCCTGGACCTTGTTCCGTAGGTTTGTTTCCAATGTTTCGAGTCGCGCTGTCTGTTCCTCCAACACAATCCTCCTTGATTCGCTCTGTGCAGTCATTTCTTCATACATGTCGTTGGAAAGGTAGACGCCGTTGCGTTGTCGTGTGGCTATTAATTCGCTCTTTAATTTTTCAATCTCAATGGTAAAGTCCCGAAGAAGCACCTTTTTCGTTATCATATGAAGCTGAGGCTTGTTTCGGATATTCTTTGCGCGGAATGCATATTCGAGTGTAGATATTGTTTCTTCGAGGTTGCTTTTTGAGGGAGAAATGGTGGCAATGATGCATGTTTTCGTCCGGCCACCAAGCGAATCTTGCAAAAGACGAGTCAATTTGGACTCTCGGTAGGGGATATGAGGGCTGCGATCCACCAGAGCGTTGATGACTCGGCCTAACGTGAGCAGCGACTTGTTGATCAGGCCAGCTTCAGTGGCCCGCTTGTTCTCTGCGCCCGATCTCTGAATATTTTCGCTACCAGCCAAATCCACCAGGTTCAATTTGCCGGCACTCACAAGCTCCTCCGCTCCTTGGTCGTTGGACTTTTTAACATATGCCGTAATCGTGAAGACGGTGTGGCCTCGAGAACTCAGGTCGTTGCACTTGGTCGCCGCCACCTGACGCCTCAAGCTGCCCTCCTGGAGCACCTTGATTCCCTCGGCTGCGTTCTTGATGTGCTTCTCCTCCATGCCCTGAACGAGTGTAGTGGCGTGGCCTCGTCTTGAGGCGTCATCGAAAATCTTTAGCTTTGCGTTCTCCTCGAGAGAGAGCAGATCTCGGAGATCTTCGTTGTATAGCTCAATGAAAGAGCACTTGACGCAATTGTCGCTGCCTTCGATCTCGAGTTTGTTAAACAGCTGCTGCAAGACACGGGGAATGATGCCGGCCTCGTCTGAAAGCATGCCTAACGTATCTGACATGTCTCCCGACATTGTGTAGGTCTTCCCTGTTCCTGTCTGGCCGTAGGCAAATATCGTGCAGTTGTAGCCGGCGAGCATCTGGCCAATTCATTAGCAGATGCCAATACAAGCAAGTTCATGCGGCTCCTTGGACACCAGGTCTGGAGTGGGCTGCACAGAAAAACCAACCTCTTCCAGAATAGGTTTCACGGTATCATCAAACACCATGGACTGGTCAGCGGCAGGCGAGAAAACACGGTCAAAGCTGTATGTCTTGTTGCTCAGCGCGTTGGCCCCCATGGACAGCTCAATCACCTTTCCCTTGACGCCATCCGAATTCACCACCACGGCGCTGTTCTCTTTGACCTCCCGCTGGCTCCGGCCTCGGCACCGCACCACAACATTGATGTTTGTTTCCTCGCCTCCACCCACCACCACGTCGGCCTCAAAGTCGCGCTCCTTGCGCTTCGTCCCAATCGTTGCCGTAGAATTCGCCCGTTCCGTAGGGGACATGGCGCCTGACCGGTCGGCCCGTGACGCGGCGGCCAGGTGTCGATTTGTTGCGACGGCTGAGGATCTGGCGCTGCCGCTGGTGCTGGCCTGACGCGTGCCTCGCACGCCGGCGCCTGTTCGCATGGCTGACGAGCTCATGGTAGGCCGGGTAGGGTCTCGATCGGAGCGTGTTCGAAGGTGAGCCATGCTGACGGCGGGATGACCACCACTGCCGATGGTCTTCGTTTTTTCTTTCCAAGGTATGTGTATATGGTAAGTGTGTTGTTGTTGATAATTCCTTGGCGGGGATAGCGGTGGAGCAATGGGCAATTAGGAGGTACCAAGGTACCTCAAGTCCGGAGCTTCTGGTCAGTGCGTATGAAACGCACGCAGCAAAGACCCAAGAAGTTTCCCTTAATAATCGTGGAAAAAAAGCAAATAGAGAGACAGAATATAATAATTATCTATTGTGTCATAAGTTCAATACTCTTTAGCGGGGAGGGGCTTGGGAAAAGATCTGTGCGATGTGGACATTGTGCAGGAAGAGCCAGGGTGCTGAGATCGAAAAAGACCTGTTTACGGAAATACAGACACTAAAGTTGCTTGTACGAAGCAACTTTGGGTTGGTGCAGACAAGCGGCTTCAGGTAGAGCTACAAAGGTTTCACGCTTAAAAGGTCTACATTTCCAAGTACTCGATACCTAGCATAGCGTGACGGGGCAGGTGGGGCTTTGGATGCCGTCGCCACAGCAACGGTGGCAGAATTAAATGATTATGTAATTCAAGATCAAGCCTCATAGATTCACATACAAGTACGGAGTACAAGCACCAACTGTTAGTCTTACTTGGAAATGAGACATGCATTTGCTGTACATAGTATCAATGGCGCATATTTATTAGTGTCGTAAATAGTGACCTCCACCTATAAGCAAAATCTAAAGCATATGAACAATGTACCCAAGAGTGGAGGCATGCTGAACAACTCATCAGCCGATGCGTATATACCCCTGAAATGCTGGATATCTTCTTCTTGCATCCTTCCGTTCCCATATATACAATCAACGCCGTAACACAATGGAAGACAATGGAAATTAAAACTTTTGTTATTGTTGTAAGACAATCATCATCTGCTCTCTTTACTTGGCGACATCCACGGCCTTCTCAACATCGGGTTGCTTCGTCTTTGTCTCCTGCTTGAGAGATTTGAGGCCTGTCTTGTGCTCCGTGTGCTGCTTGCTGAGCGTCTTCTGCTCAACAAAGAGACTGATGAAGAGGCCAAGAGCAACGAAGCAGGTATAAGCGATAAACATCTTTTGCAGGGCATTCCAGTAGGCCGTGGCGACCACCTCTCGCTGATGGCCATTCAGGCTGGCTACTAGGAATACACTTGATGCAGCCTGAGAGCCGGAAAATCTACCACCCAACTCGGGCCCGAGCTGTTGTTGTAGGAAGGCTTGCTGCTTCTGCATCTCGTTGTCGAAGATGACACCGCCAATGACGACAGAGGTGGACGTTCCAAGTTGACGGAGGAACTGGAAGCTGGCAGTAGCAGCTCCAATATCTCGGGGCTCAACGTTGGTTTGCAGGGCAATGAGAGGAGACTGAAAGTTGGGACCGACACCAATGCCGGCAATGATCTGGAAAATGATAATCTTGGCCCAGTTTGCCCTAGAGCCTAGGTCAATGAAGAGACCGAAGCCCAGAGTCATGACCGTCAGTCCAAAAATGATGGGAATCTTGTAGTTGCCCGTCTTCTTGATGAAGACACCGGTCAGGGCAGATGTTATGGACAGGGCCAGGACATAGGGCAAAATGTAGACACCAGAAAGAAGAGATGTGGCACCCAAGACGGCCTGGAAGTAGAGAGGAAGCCAGTAGCTGCCAGACATGAAGGTCATGGCATGCATGAGAGACAGGCCGTAGGCGGCAATGCTGGTCCTACCACGGAAAAGTCGAGTAGGCATCACGGGGAACTTGGCCACTCGGTTCTCATAGATACCAAAGAGGGCAATGGTGATGAAACCAAAGACGATGAGGCAGATGACGGCAGCGGACTTCCAGGGGAACTGAACACCACCAAACTCAAGCCCAAAGAGCAGCATAAGGGTACCGCCAATAATGAGAACGTTGCCGACCCAGTCAATGGCAGCCAGTCCTTGCTTGATTGGCGTGCGGGGGTTGTGCAGCTTGAGGACGAAGATGAGAATGAGCAGTCCAATGCCACCCAAAGGCAGGTTGATGTAGAAGCACCAGCGCCACGAGACCTTGCTGGTGAAGACACCACCAAGAATGGGTCCGATGGCCGAGGCAAGGGCCCAAACCATACCGAGGATACCAAAATACATGCCTCGCTTGCGCATAGAGAAGAGATCAGAGATGCAGATGTTGGGCAGAACGATGGTACCACCACCACCGACGCCCTGGATAGCACGGGCAGCAATAAGCATACCCATGCTGGTGCTGACGGCGCATAGCAGCGAACCGATCCAGAAGATGGTGACGGTAGCGATGAGGGTAGGCTTGCGGCCGAAGATGTCGGATATCTTGCCCCATGTAGGCACGAATGCAGCGTTGCCGAGCAGATAGGCACTTCCAATCCAGATGTAACCGGCGCTGGAACCAAAGTGGTTGGAGATGGTTGGGATAGCAGTGGTGATAATGGTCATGTCAAGAGCGGCCAGGAAAAGGGCCAGACACAGGGCGAAGATGATGAGAAACGTCTCAACCTTCGTCCGGCTGGCTTCCGGGTCTTCTGCGGGCGGCTGTTGCGCCGGGGGGCCTCCGGCGGCCGGTGCCGTTGTTGATGCCGATGCCGATGCCGCATCGTCCTTTTCTAGCGTTGAAACGCCAATGTTGCTCTCTCCGAGCTCCTTGTCGACTCCAACGCCAGCTTCAATGGCCTTGATCTCGCCATCTGTGCTGCGCGCGGGATTGACTGTGTCGTCTGAGCTGGTGCGCCTATCGGGCGTTGTGGCTTGTGAGGCGGCCATTATGAGGCGTCGACAGCTTGCAAGATACAATCGTTGGGTTAGGGTTCGGTGGCTGAGACCTTTGGTGGAGCTGTCGCGTGGCGAGAGGGACGCTGAATCTCGTGGCGACTTGTCTCGGATTCCTCTTTCTTGGCTCTGAGCTTGGGAGCAGTTGATCCAGATCCTCGTCTTGCCAACAGCTGCGGCAAGACAAGGGAGGAAAATCGAGAAGATAGGGGGGGATGGAGAAAAAAACCTAGAGAGGATGGGCAGAGAAGATGGTTGTCCACGGGGGATGCTATTACTATATAGAAAGGTAGCGCTCCGATAGTCTCCCCTCCCCAGCAGAGAAGGTGAGAAAGGAACCTCAAAATGCGTCAAGCATTCGCGTTTGTCATCAAGCGAAAGCTAGAAACAAAGACCACAACTCATCGGCCGGCCCACTAAAATGCCGTTGTTTTCGTGCCTTCGTATGTACGAAGAGTGGGCTGGTTGAGTTCGGCGTGGGCTTGACCCGATTCCCGGAAGCCGGCACGGGACAAGTGCAAGGCTTGGGCTTAGAAACGCATGTTGGGAGAACATCAAAGAAGCATGATGATCTGTTGATGCCTTGCCCGGAGACAAAAATATCGCCAAGAGCAGCCTCGTGCGAGCTCAGGACCCGTGTATCGCCGTCGACGACGCCCCCGTATTGTTCGTCTATGCTCGGCGCGTGGCTTTGTCATGGCCATTGGTGTGGTGTTTGCCTCTCCCGACCCTAGGACGTTCGTAATAATAGCCCATTCTCACCGCAAAGGACGCCTTCCGGCCACTCAGCCCGGTGTTGGATCTTTTCCTCCATTAGTGGGGGCCAGGCTAAGACCAGATTCTCATACCGGTCTGCAGGGCATCGGCCGAGAGCGGGTGCCAGCATTGGGCTGGCGAGATAGGCCAATGGCGGCGTCTGGTTGCTGGGTTTAAGGATTCGGCAATAAATGGGTTTCAAGGTTCTTTTTTCCACAACCCCTTTGATATTGGCCGATGCCTGGAGTGCTCTAGCGGCTAGTATGCAGTACTTCTGCCCCCCGGTGATTGCACAAGTCCGAACAGCGAAGGCGAGTTAAAATAGACTACCACGAGGTGCGCCCTGTGGTGTTTTTGCCTGTATTGGACTGCGATGACAAGATGCAAAGCAAAACACTCGATTCACATCAGTCTGGTCTGTAGAATTAGATTAGCAGCAATAACGAAGAGGTTTCAATTTTTGCACCTAACCGTCGGTAAAAGCTGCCAAGCACCTGCGACTGTAAGTACCTGTTAGCAAGTACTCCGTAATCAAACCGTCACATCATCACATCCATCGCCAAATTTGTTTGCTGGCGGCCCCCCTTTGCATCTCAAATGGACCCGGTCAGAGTCAGAATTTTGAGAGCCCACAAAAAGCGCTGTGGGCTGCCCCGCGCGGCAATCTTTTGCCTGTTTTTTTTTTGTTCAAATCTCGTCCAGACTAGACCCGTAACGGGGAAGCCAAGGCTTCGCAATGCGAACAAAGTAGCATTTGATCTGGATTTTCTGTTCTGCATGTGCTTTGCGGAAGGTGTTTTGATCCTACTCATGCCAGAGAGGCAAAGCCGGGAGAATTCCCGAATCCAGAGAACGGTCGGAAGTGGCTTCGAGCTCGGCCAAACCCCTGCCTGTCACACGTGCATCAGCATTTTTGCTGACTGACCAACTGACTTGGCAATCATCTCACATTGGACGTTCCGTCTATTCATGTCAGGTGCAGCCGAAGGAGTAGCTGAAGGAGCGCCGTCGGAACCTTCCGTGGCTTACTTAGTATTCGTATACCCAGCTCCAGACGGGAAATAGCGACCAGAGCGAGGCAGGCGCTCCACTCTTAGCTCCTTGGGCCGCGATTCACCGGCGTCGAAAGGATTCTTCCGTTCGGCTGTCGCTTGTGCCTGCCGAGAATACGTGAATACGGCGTATTCCCCGACTCCGCTGGATTTACTCCGTACTATGTACTCCGTAATCAGATCTACCAAAAAGCAACACCATCGCTCTTTTTACTATGCCGCAGTATATTCGGAGTATGACTTGGCAAAATTTTGATAGGCGACAAGTTTAGTCTAGTATCTATAGTAGTTGAGGTAATACTGAAATGATGGAATGTTTGGCTCAGTGGCGCAAAAGGACGTTAAGTGTCAAATGTCACATGAGTACGTCCCGTGGCATGGAGCAATTAACTGCACTTTGTCATCACATATTCATCAAACACGATGAAAATGTTTCCAAATAATCACAAAGTATACGCAACCAACAAGAAACAATGGAAAGATACTTGATCAACACCACCAAGGTGAGGTTCACGGAACAAGAGGTTGCCTTGAAATAACAAGCTGATCAAAAGCGCCTACCTATAGAGATTTCATTGCTTCTCTTACATCTGCTCTCGAAGCAGTCTCTTCCATCTGTTACTACCTCTTTTACTACGCAATGCTATAAAAACTCTAGCACTAAAGGCCAATGCTACGCCAAACCGAAGCCGTCATGGTAACATGGGAGAAGAGGAGAGAGCTATTGCACATGAAAATACCTGCTATATAAGAGATGTCAACAAAATTTTCAACTTTGACAAAGAAATGGCCAAGTTCAATGTTGCTCGCGAACTCAGATTCTGCGCCAACATTGTCATACCCAGCAAGGAAAGGGCTCTTGATACGGCGACGAATATTTTTCAGTGTAATGCTGGTCGCCGCCATAGGGTCTTCTTTACAGATGGTTCTACGATCACGACACCAAAATCACTTAAGAAAGCCAGAGCCATTCCATCTGGCGCCGCTGTCGCTTATCAGCCTCTAACGCCTAAGAAAGATAGGCACTGGAACGTAAAACACTTTACTCTAACTAGCCGAGGGCGAGACTCTGCCTTTACCGAGCTCGCTGCCATTGTACACGCTTTAACTTTTGCCGTGATGGAGAGGGCACTTTACTTGGACAATAATAAGAAGACCTCCAATGGCAAGGCCAGGTGGTCCAAGGTGACAGTCTTTAGCGACTGCACCAGCGTTTTGCAAACAATAAGCAAGCTTCGAGAGAGCACTACGATCAACGCCCGATTGCTTGACGATCCCATTATCCGCCATCTCATGGCTGTATCACAATATCTCTGCGATAATGAAGTCCAGCTTGAATTGCGTTGGGTTCCAGGTCATTCCAGTGTGGAAGGCAATTGCCACGCCAACGCTGCAGCTCGTTATGCAGCAAAGCATCCATATGTCGGCATGCATTTAGAGTAAGGATTACGTTAGGAATAAAAACTTCGCCAAATGAGATGGAAACACATGTTCCGCAACAGAAGATGCCTCGGAAAAGGAAAGACTAGATATGCCGAGTACTCAGCTAACCAGTTTTGCTGAATTGATGCCGCGCAATGTATGGAAGCCGCGCAAGCAGTGCATCATGCATGTGCAAAGAGTCCACATGAGCTCAGAAAATACGATTCGCCCTCAAAACAAGGCCGATAACTCAACTAGCCTCCTTGGAGCAAGTCATCATGGAGGAATATTCATGGAAACCCCGGTAATTCCGAGATGGCGCCTTTAAACACCGATTAGGAGATAACAAAAAATGTCTAAATGATGACATTAAATCTTGATGACAATGACACGGGCTTCGTCTTCGGCCGATGGAGTGCCATCGAGAGCGGGGCTTGGCTGTATAATAATAGTTTTGCATATGAAGGATCTTAGTATATGACTTCATTAACAATTTCATCTTGATTATAAATATCACCTCGATTACTTGGTTCAGTAGCACATCACAGTCATTTAGAACATGACCAAACTAACTTATAAACCCATCTGTATTAAAGGGCAAAAAGCTATGAAAGCCAAAAAGCTTCAGCATGTTTACACATACCATGTATGCTATCCCAATCCAAAACACCCAACAAACATCCAAAGCAATAATAATAAAAAAGACGGCCTCAGAAATACAATATTTCCGCTCTCGTAGAATGCTTAGTATCAAAAAAGCCCCTTTCTTCATGCATTACCCGTAAACCTTCCCTCCCCCCTCTCAAGTTCCCAACCCTCAAAACACCGTCAAAGCATTGACATAATCGTTTCTCAACACTTCAAAAACCATGCCAGGGAAGCCATACAGCGTCGTCGTAGAATCGCCATTCGCCTCTGGTCTTCTCGCGCCGCTCTCCTCCCACCCGCCGAGAAACTCGCAACTGCTGCCTGGGCTGTCGCCCCAGCCGCGGTTCAGGACCATACCCCCTTGCCGCGGCTGGGTCTTGTCTGTGGGATACACGCCCTCCCATTTCCTGCTCATGAGATTCTCTATCGTCTTGAATTCCATCTCAGAGTTGACCGGTCCGTTATCACTAGCCAAATCATCCAGGTAGCTAATCTCCCAGCGACACCGACGATGGCGGTTGAATTCGTAAGAGCCGGGGATGTTGCCATGAAGCACTAATTTCGTCGCAACCAATCGATCAGGAGCATGAGCCTTAATTCCATTTCCAATATCGTCCGGTACCTGTGTCTCTCCCGGTGGCAGACTGGAAGGAGGTACGGGCGTAGACATGAGAATGTCAAAGCCAAAATAGAAATAGTTGTAGAAACACTCTCCGGACGCATTGTCTCCTCCTTCATCTTCGACCGCAGCCTCGTTATCCGATTCGTCAGAACCAGTGTGCATCGACGACTGGTCCGTATCCGTTGACTCATCCGGCCGACCCAAATCCTTCACATTAGGGCGGCCATGTGCATTACTTGCGGCTCGCATCTTGTGAATGACCATCTTCTGATCATTCTTGCGATATATCGCATTCGGCGGCCCAAGTTCCGCCACGAGATCCTGTGGCGTGGTCTCACCAAGAATGATCCAGAAAGAGTTTGCCGTCCATTTCCGAAATAGCTGTATCTTTCCCCCACCATGCAGTCGAATCAAAGATACCTCATCGGGGTAAACGTCCTTTCCACGAGGTATAGTTGAAGTCACCTTGACGCTAGGCAGCACATCCGTCCACAGCGTTGGCCGCACCTCTGCCCAAGAATTACCACTAAACACAGCCATGGAAGTCGCAATCTGGGATGACGATGCAGAAAGCAGCGAAACGACGTCTTTATCGGCAGAGTACACCGAGGTGGGCACGGAGAAGTTAAAGGCCACGCCGGGATACGACAAGACATACGTCCCGTTGCCCTGAGACGCCGTCGGAGGAATGAACTCGCCCGCGTAGGTTGGTCCCAGCAGCCGGTGGTAAATGTGCCGAAACGTAGGTCCCGCCGAAGACTCTCCTGGCACTTCGGGAGCAGCGGCGCCTGCCGGCCGTACCAGATCCCGATCCTTAAAGGTGATGTGGCTCTTTGTAAAGTCGATGACTTCGATCAAGCGGAGGCGCTGCTCAGGGCCATCGAACCGCAACCTGACGCCGTTTTGCGGCAGAACGACGCACACTGGTTCGGTGACGGGCTGGTCTCGGGAGTAGAGGACTTCGAGTTTCGGGAACGCTTGCGGCTCTGCCTTGACCCGGGTCAGGACATCGTGAAGGGACGCGCCAAGGGCTAGCAGAGAATGGTGAGTCTGGGATTCAACAGAGTTTCTGAGCCAACGTTGGATTCTGCTTACTGAAAAACCCGAGGGCCCGTCCGGGATGAAGCTGTGCGGTAAAGAGCGACATGGAGAGAGATGATGAAGACGCGACAGACCCAGGGGGGCCAGCGGGGTTGGAATCGCAGTGACAACACTCGGCGCGAATGAATGGCGGGGCGGTTTACCAGTAGTCGGTTCTCTATTGAGTTTCTCTGGGGCGAAGAAGATACAAAAGCACTCGTCGAGAGCAAGACGATTTCGGAGAATTTGCTTATGCAGCAGTTATGAAGGCATCCAAGAGGTGCTGGAATGTTGCTTATTGGGGCTGTCTAGCAGCTGGCAATGTCACGAGCTTGGAGTTGGCGCAGGGACCAGCAGCGTGTGATTGCCCCGATGACGGCATAGCGTGGGGCGGGAGCTTAGATAAGCGGGTTGATGCCTGTGGCTTGTGACTTCACTTGTACAAGGTGCAGTTCATATAAAGCAGAGACAGAGAGGGTTTGATATTGCATCTCTCGTCTAACAAAGTCGGTGCTTTTACAGATACACACACTAGAATATAATACAGTTTCCCATCGAGGGCCTCGTGATGTCTACCTCATCAGACTCCTCATTCAAGGCTTCACCACTCTTTGACCTCGCCAGCCTTAGGCTTCTGCGCACGAACAACCTTGTCGCAGTTCAACAAGCACAGCGGATCAAACGCCTTTTTGATCTATATCGCCATGTTAATATTTGCACGACAAAATCGAGTGTAGGAGAGTGGCTCATGCAGCTTACCTGGCGCATCGCGTCCACCGTCGTCTCGCCAACTTCATGGGGCAGATAGTCTCTCTTGCCCAAACCCACGCCGTGCTCTCCCTGTCAAGAAGATCAGTACCTAGAGTCTTTTATCTTTTGTCAACCAGCCCTAAACTTACCGAGACTGTGCCCTCAAGCTCAATCGCCCGCTTCACCATCCGTGAGACAACCGTTTCTGCCTTCTTCCGTTGCGCATCGTTGTACAAAAGGATAGCTTTTCCCGCAGTTAGCAACGTGCTTGGCTCATTCAAGTATTCCGCCGATTCAACTTACTGTGGAAGTTTCCATCACCAACATGCCCAACAATCGACGCAAACAGCCCGCTCTTCTGGATATCTTCCTTGGTCTCCTCAATCAACTGTGGCAGCTTGCTCATCGGAACAGCCACATCTCCAGTCCAGACCCGATCGCCCTCCTTCTTCACCGACATGGTGCTCCAGAGCGCCTCCTTTCTCGCACTCCACAGCTCTTCGCGCTCCGTCTCGCTTCTGGCAAACTCGAATGTCTTGCTGCCGGCCTTTGAGGCGAGAGCCTGGACCTGCGCAATCTGCTCCTTGATGCTGCTGGGGGTTCCGGTAAACTTGAAGAACAGCGTCGGAGCTTCCGCCCATGTGCGAGAGGTGGTCTTGGAAATATTGATGCACTTCATCTGGTTGTCGTCCAAAATCTCCACGGCCGCAACAGGGATGCCCTTGCCAACGACTTTGCTCACACAGGTGGCTGCATGGTGAATCGAGGGAAATGAGCAGATGGCAACACTTGTAGACTCGGGCTTAACCGTGAGCTTGAGCGTAGCTTCCGTCACCAGGCCGAGAGTGCCCTCAGATCCAATGAAAAGCTTGGTTAGGTCGTAGCCGGCAGAGCTCTTGCGAGGACGCTGCCTGGTCTTGATGATGGTGCCATCTGCCATGACAACCGTCAGGCTAAGAACCCACTCCCGCATTGTACCATACCTGTACGCATTGGTGCCGCTGCATCCAGTCCCAACCATGCCTCCAATCATGGCTCCTGGGCCAGGGTCCGGAGGGAAGAACAGGCCCTTGTCCGAGAGCTCGTTGTTGAGCTCCTCCCAGCCAACGGCAGGCTGAACAACCACATCCAGATCATCCTCATGCAAGGCCAGAACCTTGTCCATCCGGGCAAAGTCAATGGAAATGCCCTTCCTCGTCGGCGCAAAGTGTCCCTCGAGACTGGTCCCTCCACTGTAGGCGGTGACTGGAATCTTCCTCTTGTGGCAAATCTTCATAATCTCCGAGACCTCCTCCGTTGAGCCGGGATACACTATGCAGAACGAACGGTCGTCCGGGTCGGCCTTGTGCGTCGACCAATCCGACGTGGCGTGCGCGCTGACTTGGTCCTCGTCCGTGCTGACATTGTCCTTGCCGACAATCTTGACAAAGTCTGCCCACGCCGCCTGCATGTTTTCCAGCTTGATGTTGTGCGCCGGCGGCCTCGTCTTGGATAGCGGCAGCGTCGAGTTGGGCTCGGGTTCTCGTGGCCAGTAGGTGCCCAGCCAGTAGGAAATGCCAACGCTCGATAGGAAGACTAGCAAAACCAAGGAGTCAGCATCAGCATCAGCATACAGAGACAACCACGACGTCACATACGGAAAGTGATCATCCAGTTCCTCGCAGGGTCGTTCATGTCTCTCCACTTCTCGTATTGCTCGCGCTGCTCGCGCTCCCTCCTCAGGCGCGCGCCGATACTGCCCATGACCTGGCCCTGGAACGACCTCCCCAGCTTCTGCTCATTGCCCTGCCGCGGCGCCTTGGGCCGCTCCGGCTCAATCTCCGTTGCGTAGTGCCGCGCAGCTCCGGGACGCACCGCCGCCAAGCTCCGCAGAGCCTGTGCGCGGCGCAATGGATGCGCTGCCGAGCCGGACTTGAGCATTGGTTTGCGCTGTCGATGCGATGGACCCGTGGCCTGGGACTGGGAGGGTTGAGACGGCTGCCACAAGCAATTAGGCTCTCAGGCGGGAGTGAGGTCGGATTGCATTGAAATTATCGCGATTGCGAAATGCGAAGCTTAGCTTTTGCCATGGTGGGGGCGGGCCAAAGGATCAAGGCAAGGCCAGTGCTAAGAGTCTCTGACGACGTTAGCGGCGGGTCGGTAGATTCGGCATTTTGCGGCAGTTCATTTTCCCGTGGCAGCGCAAAGCGGCATGTAAGAATCAGAGTTCCAACTTCATCAATTCGTTGTTGTAATACAGCTACCTATACTCAATACATATCAATACATATTAATACATAAGGTATTAATACATAAAACGCTTCTAGGTTGCCTAGACTCTGCGTCAAATTAATTTGCTACAAGTGTAACAATACTTTCGTAGCGTTAACACTTCCCTCTGTGTATCCCATCCAATACCAATCCGTGACGCCAAAACACCGAAAACCAACCAATCCATAGACTAAAACCGAGAACCGTCCATCCTGGCGGGTTCATGGGTATCTGAATAACAACTGCTATTTAATGAAATGACACCCACAACGCCAATGTAAATGCAAATGGAACCGGAACCGGAAACGAACATGCAAAAGAAGGAAACATCCCAAAAAACCAACCCGGCATCCTTCAAGCGTACAGTATACCCAAAGCCAATCCTTGTCGGTAATGACACTGAACACAGGTAACATTCAATGTTCCCAGATAAGTATCACCTCAACAAAAAACTCTGGTAGGTAACCTTGAGCCAGATAACTAACCAGTGCTGTATCGGTGCGTATTTCCTGATACCGCCCTCCAAAATTGCCCAGGAAACGCCGAACCTTGAGGCCCCCCATATTGATGAGTTTACCCACAGCCTGTAGGAGCCCTACCATCGTCCTTTGATAGATCATAGCTATTCCTGAGAGAATTGAAACTTGCAGGGCTGGCGATGGGGAAAAAACAAAATTTGCCAAGAATGGTTCTGAGAGGGGAGAGTCAACACTCTGGATCATCAAGGGATCAATTTGGAGCCTTATGCGTGTGTCTGCCTGGAGGTGCAGAGGCTGATACGCAGTCACCTCGTCTGGCAGTACATTCGAACCCTCAAAAAGACCAGGAATCTGTTGTTGAGTCCAGGGCATTATCTGTTGTTGGCCCACGGGGGTATCTTGAGCGCTGGAAGAAGCGGCAACAGGCTGATCGGGGGCTGTTGCGGACTCATTGGACTCATTGGTGGGCCCATCGGCGAGCGTATTATTGAGCGCATCGGTGTGACCAAGGGATTCCGTACTGAGGCGATTCTGGTCTGAGTCCGGTGTGTTCGACTCAGGTGGCTGCTTTTTCGCCTGTCGAGATGGGCGATCATCGCGCAGCCTCTTCAAAACGTCCCGTGACAAAACATACAACGCCCTTTTTATCTTCGAAGTGTCTCCTTCATCACCGTTTGTGCCATCCAAATTGAGTCGTGTTACGCCTAGAGCATTGCTGATTTTAGGGCATCGTTCACCCCAGAATAACATCAAGTTCTTCCACTCATCAAGCGTAGGTGTCGCATTGAACTTATTATCAAAGCCGTGATTTCTCAGCAAGGCGCTCAAAGCATCTCGTACATCCCAAACTTCTTCAGGATTTAGTCCCAAGGTGTTCTTGACCTCCAGTTGGGTCATCTTGGAGTCTTCGAAACGCTTTGATTTTGCGACATTCTGGCAGATTGTGTCCAACTTCTGCTGCGACTCCAAATAGTCACTGTGTGTCGATAGTTCGTCATATAGGCTAGGTTGCCGGGCCCCAGCTCTAGCAGCGGTCTTTTTGATCCCGTTTCGTCTCGTCCCAGTGGCTGAACTCGTACCGCGTGCAAGTTCTGGTTGATCGGAGTGATTTGACCGTGCGGAAGCAGCTCGAGGAGGCGGCATGGCTTCATGTCCTAGAAGAGTGGTACTAGAATAAGATGACCGCGAACCGTAACCTTGGCTAGACCTGGACTTGGTTCTGTTGTGCATCCGTAAGCCGTTGGTACTACACAGCTTTGTAACGGCTTTTTGGGTGACCTGAAAGCCCTCTTCTTGAAGCAGTAGGGTCATCTTGGGCCGCGACATGTTCTGCTCCCAAAGATTCCTGATTCGACCCAATAATTGCAAATTGTCATCCGGCCTGTCCATGGTTTCTTTTGACTTGATGTTGTTCGTCGACTGCGCTATAGTGTTGGTACCTCTGTCACTGACCACGTGGCAAGGTATGAGCTGCTCCATGAGATGCAAAGCGCGTTGTGCGTGATGTTTTGATTTGGCTTTACCTGCCCAGGGCTAAATTGATGTATGTTTCTCAAAATATATCTGGCTGAAAGATCGCTCGATGGGTGTCTAGAAAGGTTATAAAGAGACATCAAAGCCGACGGAGCGTCGGGTAGGATCTAAATACTCAATCGAATCGAGACGATCTAGCCTGTTGGGGGCTGAGAAAACTGCGTCGTACATGCCGAATTAGATACCAGGCTTTTTTCTTGGGCAGTTAACAGGGACAAACCTGTTTTGAGTTACAGCAACTGGAAATATGCTTTCACCACTGAGAGTCAGGCGCAATATACATATATCAACAGTCAGGCACGAATAACAATCTCGAGTTCAAGTCTCAAAAGGCAAAGAAATGGATTCTCTACTTAGAGCCATAGATTCCCTAGCCACTACTTGGAGCATGGGGGTCTCGTAGAAAGGCGCATTGTGAAGATAGATGGTGTCTTCTCTCTAGTGCTCCACTGAAATATATTCAGCCCACGATGATTCAAGCCAGCCATCTTCAAGCCTGATTCGTCACTCGAGGAATCAACTCATTCCTTTTCTAATGCGCCTACTTATCAAGCAGAAATACTTATACCTATACCAGTGAATCAAATCTCGGAAAAACAACTTCTTTCCTCTTGCTGAAGCCATTGTAAGTGATAATATGAGCCAACGATGAGGCAGACGAGCGTTGGGCCGGTATGAGGAATATCGACGTAGGAATAATAGGGTCGTGGACTGCGATGTTGTTATTGTCTAATCGGGTCTATACGAAGAGCGCACTTGTAAAGAATAAAAGGAGAGTTTCTCGGATTCTGCCGGGGCGTCGTATTTATATTTAGACCGTGTTCCCTTCACATATCATCCTCATCATATGACTCAACAAATTTATGGCTTGGTTTTTGCCCGCCTGAAGGTTATTGCTCGCAGTTAATAGTGTCGGGCCTTTTGATATTGCTCAAGGCAATACCAATGAAACCTCCACTGCTGTTGAAAAGTTTGCGACCAAAGGTATGTGAACATTGAAACGCCATCTGTTTTAGTGGCGGGCTTTTAACTCTGCTGGAAAACACCTCTGTAGGATGAAATTAATATGGGATTTGCTCATGGATACGAATTCCAGTTATTTGATCCGCCGGCTCGCATAGTTTGTCGAGTCACTGTACCGTTGAACCCAAATCTCCGTGAGGCAGCGCCATGGATATAGTTATCTAGAGGTATCTTGCTCAATACTCATTGTTTTACAGTTTTGATATGTGAAAAGTAAAGCAGAGATAGAATAGGGGAGCAGGGGCTCGTGCTATAATTCCAAATGGCAAGTGTTATAGCGCCATGGTCGTAATACCAGATTCTTATTCCTTCTCTTAGTGATAGGGAAATTGATAGGGAAAACTTTATTAACAACAGTAGGTAAGCCAATCACTCAAAATCAAGCTACAGTTCATTGGTTGTAAAAAGCGACACGTGTATAGATCAAACGCAGGCCTTTTCCAGATTTCCCCAAATAGAACTGATCGGACGTCGATGCTCTCCAAACGTGGAGACGGCCCGAGTACCGAAGTCCAATCCAAGGCTAGACTCGAAATGCCATTAGCTCGGCAGTGACAAGAACGTGGGGAGCCGAGGTCCACGGCAAAACGCGTGCCAGATTACTCCGTAGTATGCAGTCATCTTGAGCTCTTCTGAACGACAGACACATATCTATCGCCAAGTAAATGATGAATCTCACTTCAAACTCTCATCTCATCCTCCGTTGACTTTATCTCACGCCCTTGCAAGGCTCATGATTCATTAGACTTATCACTCCACAACGCTCAATTCCCATCGAGTCATCTCATAACCTCAACACCAACCAACATCCTCTCATCTCCATCTACATACACCACCTACAGAGACTCACCTATCACAATGGCCTCCAATCTCCCCTCCAGCTACAACACCTTCTCCCTTCCCACCCTCCAGTTCTCCCACCATCCCGCCTCCTCCGCCATCGTCACCCCCGTCATCATCGTCAAGCTCCACCGTCCCGCCGCCCGCAATGCCTTCACCCGCGAAATGGCCGCGTCCCTCATCGCCGCCTTCAACCAGCTCTCCTCGGACCCGCGCGTCAAGGCCATCGTCCTGACCTCGTCCGACCCGCAGAACAAGTTCTTCTGCGCCGGCATGGACTTCAACGCCGGCGGCCAGGCCTCGTCGTCGCCCGACGAGCACCGCGACGAGGGCGGCCAGGTCAGCCTCGCCCTGCACCGCTGCACCAAGCCCGTCGTCGCCGCCATCAACGGCTCCGCCGTCGGCGTCGGCATCACCATGACGCTGCCCGCAAACATCCGCATCGCCAGCAAGGACGCAAAGGTCGGCTTCGTCTTTGGCCAGCGCGGCTTCTGCCTCGAGGCCTGCAGCAGCTTCTTCCTGCCGCGCCTCATCGGCACCGCAAAGGCCCTGCACCTGGCCACGACGGGCGGCGTCTATCCCGCCGGCCACAAGCTCTTTGACGGGCTCTTCAGCGAGGTTGTCGACGCCGACCAGGTGCTCCCCACGGCGCTCAAGATTGCGGACCAGATTGCTGCCAATGTGAGCATGGTGTCGGCCACCGTGATGAAGAACCAGATCTACCGGGCGCCGGCAACGCCAGAGGAGGCGCATTTGGTGGAGAGTAAGATGTTTTACTCGCTTGTCAGGAGCAACGACGCCAAGGAGGGCATCGAGAGCTTTCTGCAGAAGAGGGCGCCCGAGTTTAAGGACACCATTGACGATAATGCTCCCCCTGGATATCCTTGGTGGGCGGCAGTGGACGTGAGGCCAAAATCGAAGCTTTGAAGGCAGTCTACAGCTGCAAGAAGAAATGACCAAATAACAAAATGTATCATAATATTTGAACCACAAAGGTATCATTCAGTATTGGCATAACCTGCCAGTCTACCTTCTAATAATGTAAACCGTGTCAACGGTATGCTCATATACAACATATATCTGTAGTCATATCATATCATTCACAAGTCTGTATAGTCGTCACATACACAGACAACCATGACCAAAATCTACAACTCGAAGCACGACCACACGATACTGTAAACCATCCAACCATTCACCGAGCCTCACCGTCCCCTCACCACAACCCACTCATTTCCCGAGTGCAACCACACAAAGCAGCACCAAACCTCCCGATCATCGCTGCGCCCCTGGTGATCCCCTTTAGGCAAATCCCTCTGATTCGCGTCCTCCAGCGAATCACATCACTCGGCCATGTACAATGATGCCACTCCGCTGTAAACATGACGACCTGTCGTTATTTCTGTAAACACTCCCAATCCAAACAAACGGTCCAATAGCCGGCTGCATGTGACATCCCACATCCCACTTCAAAACAATAAAAAAACAAAAACAAAAAACATGCACATGAGACAAAGGAGCTTCAAAAACAACTTGAGTGCAACTTGTTCGCATTTCACACCACTAGCCTAAACAACTACAGATTGTACGGATCCCTCCTCTATTAACCCTTCCCATCCAACCTCCGCCAAAACTCCTCCCCAAAACCTAGCGTCTTCCAAGACGCTTCCAAGTGATCCGTAAATCTCGAACAAGAAGCCACCTTTGGGACAAGACATCTCCTGCTTCTCCAAGTCTGTCCATGATATTCAAATTTTTTTTGGGAAATTCGTATTTTTTTTGTTATGTGTTGTTTGTGTTGCTTGGGCTCCAAGGAATATTTGCATTCCTGTTCTAACGCTCCAAAGCGTGCCCTTAAAATGTGTATTTCCTCCTGTATGCAATTCGTAATGTAATGACCCAATGGATGGGTGGAATATAGAAAATTTCATCAAAACTCAACAATGTGTGAGTGAGAGATTAGAAAAAAAAAGCTGTCAAACATTTCCGCCCTATGCTTGTACTATTCCGGTTCCGTAACGCCTCGCAGAAAGACAAGTTTGCATTGTGATTCGCGTCAAAGATAAAAACGGCATTGCCAGATGCTTCGTTCGCCTGGGGTCTGTTGCTCCCCATCTGTATCAAAGGGCCGTAAAATAGAAACAGAAAAAAAAATCATAAATATTTGAGATGTTGGTAAAATCCAGCACCTCGACCTCGCTAGTAGTGTCATATGATTCGCTAAATCGATTGATGATTGGTAAGAAGGCGAAGGATAAGTATACATACACACATACGTGTGCGTATGCATGTCCTCAGTAAATAGCTGAGGCGGTGATGATTTGTTTGGTAACTGTGCGTCACCGATTAATCGAATCCATTGGTTGAACGGACTCGTGCGCGTTGAGTGGGGGTTGTTGAGAGGATGTAGATGTTGGAATTGGAAGAAGCCTGGGCTTGGCTACTGCTCTTCTGAGAAGCCTTGAAAGGGTTCTGGCTCTCCTATCGCCTGGCCAGCTTAAGAAGGCGGGTTCTCAGCCAAAGCATAAAGGCGGTCCAGAGGCTGTTTGTCCTGCGCTTGGCCGACTTGCTTCTGGAGGGGGCCTGGAATTGCGCCTCTTGCGCCTGGCTTCCGTTGAGCGGATCAGACTCGGTCTTTTCGCGGACGCTGGACGAGTTTCTCGCGCTGGAGAGGGTGCTGGTGTGTCCAAAGCTGGTCTTTCGCTTTTGAGCCTGCGCCCGCTCGTTCTTGTGGGCTTCCTTGGCGTCGGCGCGCTCCCGCTTGCGGATCTGCTCCCGAGCATACTTTTCCTCCTTCTCCTTCTCCTTGGCCTCGAACTTGCGACGGGCCTCGCGGACCTGCTCCTGGCGGGTGGATGTGTCCATCTCGCTCCGTGAGCGAAGGCGGAAACCATTCATGTCTAGAGAAGTACGGAAGGGGGAGATGGGCGAAGTGGAGCAGATGGGATTTGAGGCAGTCTTTTGCTGGGTAGTAGAGATGAGCAATGGTACCGAGGGGCCCTCGTTTGCAGTGGATTGGTGATTCACAGCGCCTTGGGTGAGACGTTGTACAGAAGGGCCCGAGTTGGAGCGAGTGGTGGTGGCCCTCACTGAAGGACCATCTGAGCTGGTGCGCTGGCTTCCAGACAAAGACGGGCGACCGGCAGCTGTTGGTTTTGAGTTAGGTGAGTTGGAACGCAGGCTGGAAGAGTAGGAGAGTTTCTTGGTGGCTGTGGCGCCGTTTGGGTTCGACTCTGAGTGGGAGAGTCGCAGAGATGTGGGCGAGGCCAGCGGCTCCTCAAAGTCAAGCTCGTCGTTGTCGCCGCTGTCGCTCTCGGCGATGGCAGCCGTCAAATCACGCTGCTGCTGGCCAGTCAGGCCGTTGTCAAGCGACACAACGGAATTGGCATATGAGTTCAAAGGCGGCGTCGAGGTCCGGGGCATCTGCCTTGAGGGATGAACAAAGGATCCAATGCGGGTGGCGGTAGTCGCCGTGACCGAGTTGCCGCTGGTTGTGCGCGCGTGGGAGGAAGAGAAGGTGTTTGCGCGCCCCAGGCCAGGCGCTCCAGGGCCGACATCTGTGAAGCTGACGTCGCGCGTGAGCTTTGCGCCGACAGCTGGCGCAGGTGGGTAGTTGGAATACAGCCGGCGGTCGCTGGTCAGGTCGTCGAGATCGCGCGACCCAAAGTCGAAGGAGCTGTACTCCAGCTCGGGGGTCGTCGCCACGGGCTGGTCGTCCCAGCCGCGGTTGAGGTCCAGCGAGTTGCGCTCCGAGTGCGAGTGGACGTGGTGCAGCCGCTTGAGGATGGGCTTGACGACGATGCGGCTGCGCGACTTGGTGAGCTTTCCGTGGCTGCTCAGGCCCGACGGCTGTGTCTGTAATGAAGCCATGGCCGTCTGAGGGTGTGTCGTCTTTGTCTGTGGTGTATACGGGACGCAGCGCAACGCAACGCAACTCAACGCAACGCAACGAACGCAACGAACGAAGAGATGGATGGGTTTCGAATATGCTTCCTTCTGGGTTCTTGTTTTAAGTTTCGGATTCGACTGAGCCCACTACGGCCCCCCTGTCGAAAGGCCCGAGATTCGTTTCGTCCGGATTTGCTGTACAGTAGCATCTACCTACACCGACTGCAAGCCATTGTTGCTGTGGTTCCTTGCACTTGAACGAGTATGGATGAGTTACACGGCGGCGGACTGGGAGGATCCACCGGATGTACGCATTGGGCACCCGGAAACGCACCCCAAAGGACCCAAGGCAAAGGGCGACCAGGTTTGAACGCTTCTTGAACTGGCCGGGGGCTGGAGGGGGGAAAAGGAGGAAACGGGGCCGTCAAGGGAAAGGGGCGAGGTTATGATGCTTGGATGGTGAGGCAGAGGATGGCGGTGGTCCGGGGGGGGATGCCTCTAAAAGGACCTGAACAGGCACCGTCGCAGGCGCTGGATGCGGCGCTGATAGCGGGCACTGGCACTGTCGGTAAGGAAGCAAGGAAGTAAGGAAGCGGGCAGCGCAATCAATCACTCCCACGGCTAGCGCTACTTGTACAGGCCGGGGTCTGATTACGACGGTGCTTGCGGCCAAGGCGGTGTTGGTGGCGACTTACACAGGTCGAGTTGGTCGAAAACGGACCAGATGGGTGTCATGTTTCGTGCTGCTGTCGCAGTCGGCCTGACAGGAAAACGGTATGTCTGCAGTTGCTCCGGCGAGGCGTGTTGCGTTGCTCCGTTTCGGGCAGGACGTTGACGGAAGCGCTGTCGTGTCTCAACGTCGACTACTACGTAGGCATACTCGTACAATGTTTACATGATCCTCCGCCTCCTCTTCCTCGTCATCCTTTCCCCCCCAGCCTCAATTAATCAATCTCTCTGGCCCGGCGGCACGTGGACGCGACAGAAAGCGGCGAGCACCAGCGCCAGCCGGGGGGTCGCCTTCGACAGCGTTTCCAGACGTTCCGCCGGGCCAACAAACCCTGGGCCGTATTGATAGCTGTGGGGAGCGGGCAGGGGACGAGGCACTATTTCCATCAACGAGATTGATGTACCGCCTAGGTAATATTACTCGTAGCCCCAGTGGCTCTTGTAAATTGCTCGTACTCTCGTCTACCATTAGCGAGCCCAGCCGTGCGAGTACTTTCTATAACGAGTGCCGAGCATCAAATTACAGCAAGGGTTCTGTTTCCCATTTCCATTTCCAGTTCCCAGAAAAAAAAACCACTTAAGTCGTTTAAAGGCGGCGGGCAACTGTTCGTGTCCGAAAACAAATTACCGCAGATTTGGGGCGGTAATAAACTTTGCCAAAAGCAACCAAAGTTGGCAAATGTCTCAAGCCAAACGCCGTGGCTCCGGAGGCGTCCCATCGGTTGATGGGACTGACGCCCGTTTTCTTTCTTCCTTTTCGGCTTCTTCTCGTCTTGCTGCCCTTCTTGCCCTTCTTGCCCCTCTTTTTTCTTTAAATTGACACAACAGAACAGGTGCTGGTCAGGAAAGGCGGTCATGATGCTGCCCCCTTGCTCTGCTGTGGCGGTTTACTGCAGTTGCGGGTCGCCGAACCGTCCCATGTACTTGGTACTCGCAGGCGGGAGGGCGGCAGCGCGGAATACATGGCAGCTGGATCCCGGGACTCCGTACCAGGTACGGCCTAGCTTTAGTACATGTATCATGTAGTTTCATTCGATGCAGTACGAAGCATCCATCAATTTAATCAGCGATCCTTTGATATCGATGGTGCTGCGCCTCGAGCTGGGCAAATGAAATCAAATGAAATCAAATCCATTCTAGTAGTATTAAATAATAATGCCGCTACCACATTTGCTATTTAATGAAAAGGGACACCCAGCGCCCACACGCGAGGAAATGAATCATGAAATCATCGATCAGGGCCCCATCACCGCCCATTTGTACCGGTAAAAGCGCGCAGCTGCAGGCGAACACCGCTCAATGCACCGCATGGCATGACGCGATGGAGAAGATTGAATGCACGAGAGAATTGATGAAATCAAATAGTGCTGCTAGCTTTGCCGGTCAAGCTGCAATTTGCGCCGTGCTTTTGAATCCACCGCGACGGGAAACCTTGGCTCCCCGCTTTGCAACCGCTGCCTGGCTGCGTGTTTTTCGTCTTTGCCGCCTCCCTCCCGCGACTGGCTCCAATGTATCGTAGCATCCATCGCTCGTACAGTAGTAGCAGTAGTACTATGTATAGTAGTGGTCTTGATAGTACCTACTAGGTAGTACAATACGATAGATACCGTAGCTACAGTACTACTGGCAAATAGCTGGATGCATCTGCCAGGGCCAAGACATGGCCGATCGCGAGTATACGGGCTGCTATATTCGGGGGCCTTGGCAAAAACGTACGAGAGACATGCGCCATGTACAGTAAACCATCATCCTAAAGATGCCGAGTTTTACTCTTCTCGGTCACGAGAACAATCAATTTACATGTTTTGAGCTTTCCTTGTGCAGCAGCTGTAAGTTGTGCTGTGCCGAAACACTCATAAACTACGACTACTCGTATACTGTCAAGCACCGTACAAGTAGTAATAGCATCCATGCGTGTCTCAGTTGAAAAGGCGGCCAGGAATTCTGCCGAGTTGCCCCGGAGGCGGTCCAGTCCCAGCATGCAGCAAATCCGGATTCTCGCAGCGCCAGAAAGCTTCAATCTGGCGGTAAATGATCTGCATAGGCCCAGCAGCGCTGATGAGCTGTTCCCGTTCCTGTGCCTGGATGGCAAGCAGGGAACCACTCGACATGGGACAAGAGGCATATGCAGGCCGCGCTGCCACCGCCTTTCTCTACCGCCTCCAAGACGGGGCTGCGATAAGAAAAGAACAGAAGAAACCAACCAACCGAAAAAAAAACCTCAAGCCTCTCCTTTCTACTGCACGAGTGCTCGTACATACGATACTCCCTTTCCCTCCCTCGCCAACCCCCCAGCAGCAGCGGTACGTACTCGTACTCACCTCACACATGCGTGCTTGTGCAGCTGCATCGCGATGCATGTGCTCGTCCAGTACGGAGTATATGCGCGCGTATAAGAGAGAGAGAGAGGCGGTGGAAGAGCAAAAACACATGATGCCCAGCAATAATACGGGGGATGCAAGCGCCCGAGTGACATGCCAGTGCTCCTCCATCGTCGAGTCTCGCCAGTTACTAAGCCCTGCTCGCTGCAATGGTTCAGCTTACCTGTGCTTGGACAGACGAGAGAAAACGGCAGTTGGGAAGCGAGACTCGGATTCCCCCGCTCATCACCTCAAACCCCTCGCCTCTTCTGGTCTGTCTCTGCCTGTTTCTGCCTGTCTCTGCCTGTCTCCCTCGAGTGTCTCTCCCCCTCTCGCCTCCTCTCTTCTCCCCTCTCTCTCTGCCTCGCTCGTGTCTGCTTCAACTTCCATCGCATCCGTCCTTTCTCGGTGTCACTTTGGTAGCTCCCCAAACTAGCTGCGCTATCCCACGCCATTCGTCCGGGGCTCGCTGCATAGCGTCGCCGACTAGAGACGACCCGCTCCAGCCGTCAACAAACAAACTTGTGGCTTGTGACAATTCCATCTCGGCCACTCAGGCCGCGGCTCGCTCGCCATTCGCGGGCCGGGAGTGACGGCCCCCCCAAAAGCCCGAAGCTGGTGCTCCTACAGCTTCGCTTCAGCTTCAGCTGTCTTGTTGGTTGCTTCTGCCTTGTTGGACGGCCATTGATTGCAACCACTCATGGCACCGCTGCCCCTCCATTTTAATCTACGCGTCGTGGTTTATCTTACGATGGCGTTGACGTTGGAACATTCGGTTTTGCCCCCATCTGTCTTGTCTGTCTTGTCGTCACTTGTCCCTCATCTGTGTTGCCATGATTTGTCCCATCCCGTCGTCCATTGGTCCGTCTTGTCCTCGGGCGCGGCTCAACTTGATGCAGCCCCGAGTCCGTGCCTTGGCCAGAACCATCGACAAAAGAGCCTCCCATTCATAGCCTGAGGTTCCGGCTATCTGGCAGCCAATCGCTCCATAACGCTGACCACCCTCCGTGAGCTACTCGATTGTCTGTGCCCGACTCGGCCCCGCTGGCGTTCCGGTGACAGACGCTCGATGACAGTTTTCAAGTGAGAACAAAGAAAACGTGCCTCCAGCCTCAAAATCGTCTCAGCCGCACACTGGCAGCCTCGCAAGGCCTTGCTTGATCCGTCTGGCTCTGCTCTTACAAGATACACACCAGCTTCGCCACACCACATCCTTACGGATATACGCGGATTCAAGTGTAGATCGAGTCACATGAGCTCGGCTGAGGATTCCAAATGGATGCTGCGATATTAATTCCTCAATATCACTCCTGCTAGGCGCTCTTATCTCGTCTCAGAGCTTTGAGCAACAGCAACAGAGTTCCTCATGTGCCCGCAGCTCCGCCCCAACTTTGCTTTCATCATCCACTTCCTTTGCAAAAGCTGCCAAGAAGGACGCGTTGAGTGCTCCGCCACTAGGCAAGTCGTCACCACGCGGTCTAGTCAGCTGGTCAAACAGCTATGATACTAATACTAGTATCCTCCAAACTTGGCCCATGCGATTGCCATGTAGTACAGTATTGTTTCTCCCCTCATCGATCCAGATCACCGATAATGCGAGTCACTCAAACCCCTCTTTCACTACTGGGCGCTTGTTGGTGTCCACTGCGGGGGACAAAATCGCTGAGATGATGCAAGTAATGATCAAGTTTTCAAAGAAACGTCGTCGACAGATTGCTTTCTGCAAGCAGATTAATACTTCGTAAGCAAGCTAGAACTCGGTAGTGGTAAGATCCTTTGTCTCTTGGCGAGAATTACTTATCATTGCCACCCCGAGTGCCATAACTCGGCTTCATAGATAGCCGCTCAGACTATTCAAGGTCCGCTGCAGACTGGCCGAGCCCGCTGCAGTAT